TATAGTTGTTCCACTGTGAAGTTTATACATTCATGTCCACGCTGATGGATTAAGAAGTTAACAGGCCACAGCTATTTGTCTGTATGGAGACCTAATAAAATATGCTGTAACACACACTTTCAGACTCGCGCTCACGCAAAGGGCGGCTTTGAATATTCATACTGAAGTCCATTGTCCTCCAGCATCTCCGTGAGGACGCTGCACATCTAACAGCTCCTGACAAGTTGCCTCATGATATATCATCGGCTAAAAGTAGCTGATGGATGAGACGTTACTTCATCCATCAAACCAGATTCATTTTGTAGCAATGAATTCCAGTCTCAATGTGTGTTTTTTTGTTTTTTGTGCATTTTTATGACTCAGAAAAGTCGTGTCGAGTTCAAACGCAGCCTCCCTGACCACTACAGAAGAAACTGCAATTATAAAACACAGTATTTGTGGTTTGTGTTACTTTCACAGACGCTAAGTTTTGACCTTAAGCTTTGCTGTGCTGGTTTGTTTTGACCTTTAAAGGTCGGCTCAGTAGTCGTTTTCCCACTTGCTCAAAGCCAGCGTTGCTGTGTGAGCGGTGAGGTCAACATACAGCTCAGTTGCTGGATCTCAGAGATGAGCGAAGGTTAAGCCATGAATTAGCAACCTGAGTACACACAGATCCCTGAAATGCTACAGGAGTGAGTTTATAAAGTGTCTAAATTCTTTTCTTTTTTCTTTATTTATTTTTTTTAACTGGAGTGTTTATTGAATCTTTTGACTAATTTAAAAAAATAATTTGAAATTGAAACTTGCATGAATGTATGGAAGCCCTGAGTGGCCAATAAAGTGTGGTAACCAGATGTTATCACGAGATAATATTTTGTGGCCACGAGTTAAATGATCTCATTCCCACACGTTATTAACTTGAGGTAGCGACTTATTATCTTGTTCCCAGGCATTATGCTTTTTTCACTAATCTCTCTTTCACGGTTCACGCGTTTTATTTTGTTCTTACTGCAAATTAGTATTACAGCAAGTTGTTGCACCACAATCTCCATTTTATTTACATCCGTTTCCCCATAAGATCAGGTGAGGTGGTGCATTATTATTATGCTGTCATTTTCAAATCTGTCTGAGATCAGAAAAAAGAAAATCTGTGAGCTTTCTCCTGATGCAACCTGATTTTAAAACCTGTTAGGATTTAAAACTGCTGTAGTGTGAGCCTAGATTAAGCTAGTTAAGCTAATTCTATATGCAGACACATTAAAATACCATCTGTGGCCATGAATCATTCACCAGATCACACTTTCATGTCTGACGTACACAGTTTTTTTTTTGTACAAGAACATTTTTTTTTAAAGATAGATTTCACAAGTTCGATTAGCTGGTTAAAAATATTCATACTGATGTTATTGTCTGTATTTTGTGGTTGTTCCACATCAAATCATTCTGCTCAATCATCGACTCAAACACACTATGGATATTTATAATGTTATCTGTGAATATATCAAGTACTTTTTGATATTTTCTTTTGACAATGTGTGTGTATGTCCACTTTGGGCAGGTTTTTTTTCACACATTGAAATCTGAAGCTATTAGGAGCTATTAAAGACAAAAGCCTGAAATTTTGACCGTGTTTCTCATCATGTCACTGATTTAGGATCTGGAGTATTTGACAATATGCATAAACTTCATGTGCGAAACACTGAGCTAAAAGTGGGTCAACAGGGAAATGTATATACACATATATATGTATATATAACAATGGAAGTATTTGATCCATCAAGTTTTGCAAATGTCTTCATGCATATTTTATGCAGTAAAACAAATCAGAAATGCTCCAAAAATGTTCTAAAAAATTGCCTGATTAAAGATGAAAGGCACATAAAAATTCACACTGAATGTCGCTGTGCACATGTTGTGAATCATCTTTAAAAGAATATTTGTTAACGTGGTTAAATTCTGCAGTTCTGTTGTATAACTGCAAGAAAAAGCCTCCTAACGTCTCACTCAGTGTCACTCACAAGGCATGTTTTCCTTTTTCTGTGTTAGAAATCTTTATTTGCACTTTCTCGTGAGCAGAAAGAGAAATAGAGATCTGACACGTTTCCCACTTTTCCAGACGTTTTATACGAATGTCTTTGAGCTAATTGAATCACTCGAGGTGTGTTTGTGGTTTTTTTTCTTTCTCTGGAAGAGAAAACCAGACCTCCCCGCCAGGTTTTCTACCTCGAAAACCACATTCACAGCAGCCAGGGAAGTTGTGTCAGAGAGGTTTTAACTGTTGGGTAACATCTTCTCTCCCTCTGTTCCCCTCCCTGCCTCTCCTCCTCCTCTTTCTGACTTCAAGTTCAACAGGACTATGGGAATGAGTACTGAGGAGGCTTCTGCAACCATCTTCCTCTCCTCCTCCTCCTCCTCCTCCTCCTGTGCTCACCTCCCTCTGTGCCCTGTTTGAAAAAAAAAACTGAATTCACTCCCTCCAGGCTGCCATATTTCCTGGGATGGATAAGCACTCCTGACACTCTTTAACCTCTAATCCCTGCAGCAGCGGTTTTGAAATTTTAGTTCTCTGGAGACCTTTTTATTTTTCAATATTATTCTTTCAAGCTACGCTTCATTTTTGCAGGAAATTATCTTTTTTTTTTAAAGGTGCTTCACTTTAAAAGAAAGCGGCGTTCTTAATAGTGATTTTAGGCAACTTTGTGCTCTCATTTGGGTTAATTGCGACTTCTTAGATCCATTATTCACACCAGATTTTCAGTCTTTTTTTGCACATAATGAAATGAGATTCCGTACTAACAATAGAAAGTCAGTTGAATTTCTTGTTTAGAGCTGGTTCGTTAAACTTTCCTCATTAGACTGTCTCAAGGACAAAAATGGATTAGTTTACCTTCCCACAAGACCACAAAAAAACCCACAACGCCGCCGTGACAATCGCCACTGCTGATCGCGGCGCCATCTGTCAACAAACAGCCGAGCTCACAATGCTCTGCTGCAGAAGCTTCAGCCTGCTTCCAGCTCAAATCCCATCAAAGCTAATCTCATCTTTCAAAGCCACATGAATCAGCTAAATAGTGATGAATTGCTCCGATGCCGATTGGCTGCTTTCATTACCGAGCATCTCCCGCACTGTAAGACGAGCAGAAAATCTCAATTTTACCCCTGATGTAATGTGATCTTTTTCATTTCTGGAAAAATGATCACATGTGGGCAAACTTGGGGTTGAAATTAGATTTTTTTTACTTTTTTTTTTTCCCCCTTCAGTTTCATTAAACCACTTTCTCATTAACCAAATCTGTGCGACTCTGTCTTGGGTCTCAAATGTGCTTGTGCAGTCCCAGAGAACTCATTTGGGCATCAAGGAGATAACGGTTTGAAATCAATTAAACCTGCATCTCAGCCCGTGCATGCCTCACATTCCTGCTGTGCTTGTGTTCAAGCGGCCTTTTTTACGACCACGCTGTCCCAAAGCCTCCCTCCACCTGTAGAGGAGGCTTTATTTTAGCTGCCACCACTGACCCGAAATATTCCCCCCAGTCCAACCCCTGCCTCACCCCGGCGGCTACCAGCCCTACAGCAACCAGCCGTACAACCCTGCTGCAGAGGCCTACAACAACGACCAAGGAGGGGACGAGGAGGACGAGGAAGAAGAGGACCCCTATTACCGCGGTTACCCCCATCCGTACTACCCCCAGCAGCCTTCTCACAGTCGCCATGGGTACCGCTCAAGCCCCGCCCACTCCGAGGACGTGGAGCTGAGGTCGCCGGGCGTCGCCAGGAGGTTCTCGCGCGATGTCGTCGTCACGGAGGAGATTTAAGAGGAAGGACGGACTCACCTGAAGTGCTTGAGCCCACAACACACACACAGACACAAACAAATCAGACACTGACACACACACACACACATCGCCGCTCATCTGAAACTGTGGTGAGAACCAAAACCCCCCACACCCCCTCCACCAGGTGAAACTATGTAAATAGCTCTGTGGACTCTTGTACGATATCTCTGTTAAAAAGGGAGGTCCGAAAAGTGCCTGATCTATGTTAGCATCGTCCAGTGGTAATGTAAAGGTAAACCTGTTCCTTCCGTCCCCCCCACACACACACATCTTACGAGCTGATTTCAGGACTAAAAACCCTTGTTTTCGTGTGAAGCTGCATGTTTCCTTTCGAGCCGAGTGCGTAACCGGACACGTGCATCTTGTTTTGGTTGCAACCAGCTCGATTATTTTACAGTTCAAACCATCCAGGACGACGAGCTGGCAACATTTGTACAGGCTGCGTTTTCTAACGATGGATTATGACTCCCTCCCCGCTTCCATGCTGTCTTTATTTCAATGTGTAACAGGAGTATTGGAAAGTGATTTCTCCGTAAAGTATTGTGTTAAGTTACCACTATGAGTTAATCCCCCCCAACACAAAATGAAAACTTGTGTTAATATTCCCCCAAACACTGTGCGACGTTTTTGTTTGTTTTAAATGCTCATTACATTTTGTCCTGTGTTGTCACAAAGACGGACGAACAGATCTGTGTTTGTTTGTGTTGCCACCCAGGTTTGTTTTTTTCATTTTTTCTTATGCAAATTCGGGCCCGCTCACTGTGGAAGCTGTTTTGCTCAACTGGTTGAACTCTGACCTCTCGCTGGAATGAGACCTGAAGCCGGTTATTATTAAAAACAGTCTGCTGCCTCGCTGTGAAATCAATAAGGACTGAAGTGTAAACTTTCTCCCCCTCCCGCCTGCCTGCACTGCAGTCTGAAAAAACAAGCACTAAAAAGTTTAGCCGTGAGCTGGCCCTGGTCTGGATTTAAACTGTCGAACGTGAGCAGCTTTAATAAGGAATGTGTCTCACTACCACACCCCTTAGTACAATATGAACTTATTTATTTTCTATTTTGTTTGCTTTTATAACCAATAAATCTGTAATGAGACTACAAAATTGTGTTTTAGGTCATTGTCTACCAACACAACGAGGTCGAATCATCACATTTTACTGGCATTTATGTAAAAATGACGAGAACAGGTTCGTTAAATTGTTTATTAGCCTATTTTGCAATACACTCAACCGATTTATTCTTCGACATGGAAACACAAACGACAAGAAGAAAAGTCCCGACCAAAGTGAACGTTTTCCAAGCAGAGCGCATCGATGGCGCCAAATGTTGTCATGGTAACACATTAATTGTTTTCACTGTGAACCCACGAACCTTCAAAGGGAGGATCAGCTCGAGCAGATGTCATTTTTATGAGCCAAATCTGATCATTTCATGGTCGTATAATCTGAGAAGAAAGCAGCAGAATCTGATTTTTCTCCGATCAGAGCAGGAGCCACGTGGTGAAACCTCACGCTGCTCTTGGATCATTTAAGTTTGCTGTGGTCCAGTTGAGACGAACACAAGTGACAGAACGGAGGATGGAGTTTGTGTTGATGGTTCTGTCACCTGCGTTATGACTCTGAGCTTTGGTAAAAACATCCAATTAAGTCTCGATGGAAGTTTTGGAGGAGAAAAGCAAACTGTCAGTTGAATTTACACAAAAGTCTAATTGTGGTTTTTATTGTTTCATCTGAGCAGAGAAAATCAGCTTCTGTGTATTTAAATCCTGCTGACAATCTCATAATTACAATTAGGGGTTGACCGACTGGCGGTTTTCCAGTTTAAATGAGTCCCGATCAAATTTATTAATTTTAAAAGGTGGTATTTTGGCTTTAACGCAGCCTTTTTTTTCTGTCTGTAGTCACCACTTTGTCCTTTTAAGACTGTTAAATAAAATAGTTTTATTTAAACAGATGTGAAAGATGAAGGAAGTTTTGTGTTTTAGCAGCAAGATGTACATTTTTCCTGCAACTGTCCATCTGCTCTAAATGTCTCTTATCAGTTTTCTTGAGCACTAATAATCAGTCAACCCCTAATTACAACTATTACAGAGAATACTGTTGCTTTCAGTGTTGCCTTAATAGACAGAAACCTTTCTGCTTTGGTCACGTTGGGCAGCCCAGGCTTCATTTGAACTTGTAGTCTTCAGGTCTGTGGAGGAAAATGTGAGACAACACATTAGTATGGGGAGGCATAAAAGTCTGCGAAAAGAACCGATTACAAGAAAAAACATGGACAGAAAGTGACAGATGAGAAACTGGGCAGATCTTATCGTTAGTTCTTTTTTTTTTTCCTTTCTCAAAATGAGTTCAGACACAGCATCCTCTTTCTGTGTTTTTTCCCCTTTAATTTCGAGCCGAGATTGCAGCAGACAGATATTATCAGGGCGGCTGTATTGGTTCTGATACAAAGTGGAGAAAACATTATCAAATGTAATAGCTCTGCTATCAACTACAGCAGCATGTTTATGTTGTCTAATGTCTGAGCACTTGTTTGTGTGAGTGTGTGTGTGTGTGTGTGTGTGTGCTGTAGAGAGGTGGAGGGGGAGCTGATATCCAATAATAATCTCTCGCCTCTGCTCCAAGGTTTTTCTGAGAGAATATTAACTATGTGTTTAATAAAGGGTAACGATTGAATCGCCCTCCATGACCTCAACCCCACCTCCCCTGACACACACACACACACACACACACACACACACACATATTTGAGCAGTAAAATGAGTAAGACGGAGCGTGAGTGAATATTAACTAGGCTAAGGCCCATCTCTTAAATAAACCCGGATTAGTTTGACCTTGACGGCCACACGGCGGCCAGCCTGAGCACACGAGCTGATTGGCTGTGGAGATTGAACCAGTAAACAATAAGAAGTGGCTCATTTATCACCTTGCTCTGACACCCGGACAGCAATGCTGAACAGACATGCTGTACATGGTTGTACAAAGCACGCACACACACACACACACACACACACACACACACACACACGCACACACACACGCACCAACAGCAGAGTAAATATATGCCAACAGTAACTTAAGAACAGGCCGAATGTAGGTTGTTCATTGAACTGCTGTCTGTGAAACTGTTTAAAGGGTCAATCCACCCAAATTATAATCACAAATGATCTCAGTTGCCTCTTGTGGTTACAAACCCACTAGAAGTCTCGCTTCAAACAAAAACAAAACACACACACTTTTCATTTTCAGAAACTAATCTACAAGAGAAGTCTGCCTGATAGAACATCTTTTAGTTCCAGTAGACATACAACCACACGACAGTGAACACCAGAAATACATATTGGCTGATTCACATACTTTTCCTTTTAGATTGGGCTACAGCTGCCCTCACAAAGTACCGACTGTTCCATGTAGACTGTGTACAACTGGGACATACTGCTTTGTCATAAAAAAAGCACCCTAAACTTTGGCTGTCTCGGTCTGTAGTGTGAAGTAAGTTGTGTGTACTCTTGCAGGTTAAAGCTTGTTTATATTTGTGGACGACATATGTGGTGTACCTTTAACTACTCAGAGGATTGTGGGTCAGAATAGTTAGAAAAGCACGCTAGCTAGCATCGCACATAGTATGCATTGGGACACACTAAAACTTTTTCTAGCGTATTATATAGTGCGGTAGTATGAATACTGGAACATGGCTTTAGTACATCCCAGTATATAAAGGACGTCAAATGCAGGGTGCCAAAAAGGTGGTCAGACTTTGCAGTATAAAAGAAAGCAGCACGCTTTTATGACCCACAAACTGCTGCACACTTACTTGCTGTATCGCAAAGACACGTGACAACTCATTTTGTACAACAAACTGCAAAAGTCAAAGTTTTAGGTGCAATATTATGGCAAAATAGTATATCCTGATTGTGTGCATATTGCATGAAACAGTCCCCACTGTATGAGGGCAGCTGTAGTACAAACTTGAAGTAAAGAGGAAAAAAGTATTTGAATGTATTTTCTGAATCTACTTTGTACGTTCACAGCAAAACGAGTGGAAAACAGGAGAGATACACGGAAAATGAATTTGGCTCCATAAAAAAAACACAACTGCAGTTGTAGAGCTGCACAAAATGGAAAATAATCACAATTTGGCTCGTCACAATTAGAGGACTGTCTGGGATATCGACATTTAAAATGCGCCAGTCACAGAAAAAAATCTCACACAGATAAAATCGTTTGTCTCAGTTTTTGTATATCTGACATTAGAACACCTTGTTTCACTCTTTATAAATTATCTAACAGCTTCCTGACTGTCTTCTTCAGTCGCCTGCATGTGAGGCGTTTAGGGAACATCAGTAAATTGTAGTGTTTATCAATATGCAGATGTTCAACAACAGCGGAGGTGTTTTGGGTCAGATTTCATCCATAATTTGCCTCTGGGAGATGAAGAAGAAACTTATTTCACATCTTATTTTGATGTAAAATTTGTATCTTAAGCAAAAACGTGGCACAGCATAGAGATAAAGCAGTGCTGTTTATTTTAAAATTATGCTAGAGTAATTATTATTTTCCAAATAAAAGGTATTTTACTCATCTGGTGAGCACTTTATATCACACACATTTTCCCCCAAAACTATGCAGCCCTTGTTCTGAGACGGAGGTTTCTGTCTCAGCCTAAACACAGTCGAGGTGAAAAGTTATTCTGCTTGTAGTGCACTTGGCGCAGAAATATTACATTTGGAAAAATTCAGCGGCGGTATTATTTCCTGAAACGGTGTCACATTGGCTCCGTGAGAAAACAGTAAAACACTTTTCAAAGGAACTATTTATTCAGTTCAAAGTAGTTCCAGTGAAATAACACAGAATGCAACCAAAAAAAGCAGAACACTGTTCTATGAACACGCTGCTGCTGAATTTTTAAAAATGTGATTTTGAACACGCAGTAAGCCCTGTGAACTAGACTCCCTTCACCTCTACTGTACTGCGACATCTCAAAGACAAATATCTGAAAACCTGGGCAAGTAAAACGAAAACTTTCTGCATGGGTAGACTCCACTAGAGGCAACGTTTGTTTGTGGTTACTCGGGTGAACAGATTCCTTTTCTTTCTTGCATGTATTTTATGGCTGCAGTAGAGAAAGACAAGAAGACAAGGGGTCTGATGGGCAACATGATTAACCTTCCTAATGTCGTGGTATTCACTGTGGTATCGTTGGTATTCATTCCACCCGCAAAGTAAAAACGCTTGAATTTACAACCTCTGAGTGGTTAAAAAAAGACCGCCGAGGACCTGGTAGCTGAGAAACTGCTCCCGTGGATGAAGAGCAGCAACCCTGACCTGGATGAGCAGCTGGAAGACACTCGGACGGACCGATTGATGGATTAATGGATGCCGAGACTGGAGCTGAGCAGGTGAAGAGAGAACGCTCTCAGTCAGCCCGCCGGGATGATGTTTACTGCAGGTGAGGCTGCAGAAATGCAACAGCGCGACATTATCATGCCGGCACACCGCGGGTCACAATGTCAGTCTAATCTCCAACCAGAAAATACTTGACTCAGAAAAGCCATGAATATGATTATGCCGAGTAACAGATGCTCTCTCCCCGCACCCTACGGAGAAACCTTGTGTGTCCAAACAGTCAGGAAGTGATGGGAAACAGCTGAGTTTGCCTTTGTGCGTCTGTGACATTTGACCAGTTCTGTTCCAAGAAGCTCGGCCAAGACGAGGGCTCTGAGGACGCCGGTGTTATCACGTACAGTAGCCCTCGTTTATCAGAGTTTCAAGGAAGCTCACGCAGCACTTGAGCTAACTAAAAACATCATGTTAGGAATAAGAGTATTTACGCAGCAGACATGAATAAAGTCCGTCCTTGTTCTCTGTGCATCGTGTCACATAATGATAACTCTGCGTTGGCTGACAATCATTCACACCACACACATGTGCTTGTAGTTACAATGAAAAATGTTGCATCTTATTTTTTCCTGCACGACCAAAAAAAAAAAGTCAAACTGGCCACAAAAAAGCTCTGGCACGCTCTCGAGTTGGATTTATTTTATGCATGCGTTGCTTAGTAAGAGCAGGAAAACAATAGGGAACAGCGTAAAAGACTGAGCAGAGCGAGGCGGCGAGGGAGTCCAAACCTCCCCACACTCATCAGAATGAACAGTGCGCTGCTCCGGTTAATGCTCAGAGAGGCACCACCAACTGCGCCTCGTCTCATAAGTCAAATTCTCAACTTAACAAGATTCTGAAAAGCGAACATTTGCCATCAGTTTTTCTAAATCTCTACTTCTTTTCGATGCAAATGCAAAACTCAAACTTCGTGCCACTGTTCCTACAGTTGTAACCGCCTGACCAGCAGCTATATTCAGTCAGAGCTTGCCAACTGAAGCTAGATATCAGACAGCAGGTTGGAGGGTTTATACAAAGGGAATATGACGAGAGACGGTTCAACATCACCCCCTTCTGACTTCAAGCAGAAAATACAAGTGGCAAAAACATCACTAGCCCTCAGAGCACAAAACAATTCCCAAGCGAGGTGCTCTTCAAAGTTTGTCTGACAATCAAAAAAGTTATTTGAAGGCTAAAGTTGGGGGTAAACGTCACAGGAAATATAAAAAGTGCCAAACAGGGAGTCTGGGTTTAATATCTTGGCTGCAGGAGTTTGCGCACATTTGTTTATTAGGGAAAGATTGATTATCGGCCTGGCTCGGTATTTGGCATTTTTCCGATTATCTGTATTTTTATTAATCAATTATCAGTAAATGAAATGCGCTACTTCAGGTCTGATGCAGCCTCCTCTCTCTGTCTGTCGTCACTCTGTGTTCCCAGAAATGTCTCTCAAGCAGAACAGCTGATCAAGAAACACAAGCAGTTGCCACAAAAACCGGGAAATTAGCTTCTCTCACAGTGGCCAAGGCTACGCTCGCGGCTAAGTTAGAAGGCAGGGAACAAATTACCCTGAAACAGAGTCTGGAAAACAATAATTATTAATGCTTCAAGATCTGGACCTTAGACAGATTAAGAAAACAGAGAAGGACAGCAGGAGACAAACTGATTAATCTCAGTTGATCCCCATAAACAGAGGGGAGTGTCCTAATGTTCTATTTTACATATTCAGTCGCTTTCATGAATGAAGGAGCCGAGTTGTGAATGAGAGATTCACTGCCATCACATCCTGGTAAATCATTACATTTAATGTATATCGGTTCCAAATATCAGTCTTTCTTGATTACCAATAATCGGCATCGAATCTGTCACGAAAAAACAAACAAAAAACCAATCCCTGGTGTTTATATGCTGTGAAACCTACATGCATGCTGTGTATAGTACTGTCTATACAAGCACTGCTGCGTTTCAGTACAGAATATGTGTGTTTGTGTGAGTTGGTACGTACGGCGTCCACAGCCTGGGGAAGGCGTCGATCTCCTCCTGGGTGTACTCGCTGAGTTTCTTGGGGATTTCTCTGGGCTGAGGCAGCTCCTCTGTCAGGTTGGCTCGGATGTCATCTGGCAGCTCCTGGAGAGAGAGGGGTGGATGGATGGAGGAGATGTTGGAGACATTTTAGGCAGGATGCAAAATTCGAGTAAGGAAAATAGGAGTGGAAAAAGGATTTAAAAGAGGTGAGACGAATCAGAAAGAGAAAGTGGAGAAGAAAGAAGAAGGTGCTATTTACTCCACAGAAACAGATCAGACATCCCACTAAAAAGACGTGAAGAGGGCTTTAGGGTCCATCTCTCTCCGGCGTTGAAAGTCTGACTCATTAATATTCATTACAGCTGAGTATGTGCCTGCAGGTTTATTTAAAGAACAGGTAAATAGTTCAGACGAAAAGACAAAAACAACGATCAAAAAAACACCAAACTTTCAAAAATGCTCAAAAGCAACTTTGCACTGCCTGAACTGTTCTGAATTGCAGATGGCACTGCAGACATTCACAAAGCCCAGGAAGCCCATCTGCAAGTAATTAGGGATGCACACTTCACACTATCGACTCTGCTGGGGAATATCAAGCCAGGATCAAAACGAAAGACAGGTATCCGTTCTGACACCACATAGTTCATGTACTACAAGTCAAAACTCAAAGATGTGATCCTGGAATTATTGATGGTGTTCTCACAGAAAAAATTGGACGGGCCATCCAGGTCAATTAAGAGTCCATCCAGCGACTTGGTGTCTGGCTTTAAATTCATTGCAGAAGCTGTGATGTGTGACACTGGTTCTCGCCAATGCAATTTTAAACCAATCAAAATGCTATGAAGCGCCAAAGTGTTGGCTGAGGCCATAATTCACTGCAGCAATGATGCGATGCATCTGCTCTCTTTAAAATCAATGAGCACGACAAGACAGTTTGACGCACTTTGATAACTGAATGGAAACGTATCAGTCCTTTAAATTCATTCAAAGCAGCAGTTATTGATTTTTTGGCCACTTTTGGCAGCAGAATTCGCTTTAATCTTCCACACAATGGAGCAAACACAATACATAACCGACATCAACAGCTGCTTATTTACACATCCAGCAGTCCCCAAGCAACATTAACATTCACAATGAGCTGAAAGACGCACAGTAGATCTGAGGGGAACTGCAGCGTCAGGTAATAATTCTTCGTGGATTTTTCATATTGCACAAACTGTTAATACAAACCCCAGATAAATGCCGCAGAAAGAGCAAAAACGCTTCACAGTCATCCTCACCATGAATGAATGAATATTGTTATTATCGTGTCAAAGGCAACCATCATGTTTAACTACTTATATTACTTTTCCATAAAGTGATTTTACCTGCAAAACTGAAACAGCAGCACTGACAAAACCTTGACAGTGATGAAAAGTGATTACAACAGTTTGTTTTCTTGATGAGTCTGTATCTGCAGAATGATATCAGGGCGCTTGTTCTCATAACGTGCCCTCATTCCAATTGTCCCCAATGAGCCTGAATGATGGAGGTTTAGAGAGATGCGGTGAAACAGAACTTACGTCTTCGGGAAATAAGTGCAATCGCTGCATCATGGTGCGTCTGTGCAGATTCCGAGGCAGCATGCCGTAAACCGCCAGTTTCACAATCTGTGGAGAAGAAGAAGGACATCGAAAAGGACAGACAGTCAACTCGCTGATCTGTGTCTACAGCAACCTTACACACTTTCTCTGTGTTTTTCTTCTATTTGCTTCTCAAATGCGTTTCTCAATGTGAGGCTGGTTACACAAATGTGAATTCAACTTGGACCCTGTTACTGGACTGAGATACTGGGCAGCCATATTGGAGAGAGATGTTGGACAGAGGCAGTGCTGACAAATCATTCATCTGTCCAGTTCCATTTCTCCCTCTTCACTTGCCAACCCTCCAAACTTCATCTTAACTAAATCACCAGCAGGACACACGTCTGTGGTCATCAGCTGGACGGAAACCTGCATCAGCGGCAGAGTGGACGTCTCTCCTGGATTTGTAAACTGCAGGTTGGAGACCAGTGCAGGTCGTTCACCTACTTCTAGTGGTTCCAACATGACAAGAGCAATTTTATTATTATTTTTATTAGCCTATTCTAGCTTCCTGTGGGAAAACGTCTCGAGCTCTGGCTGCATAACTCGCTGGACCTCTGTTCCAGGTGATGTGTGCAATGATTCTGAGCAGCGCTGTTTCCACCGTGTAGCATCGAACTAATCCTGACCTGCAAAGATACGTATTTAGAGGAACAGCCCCTGTGTTACCCTGACTACAAATAAATCAGTCAAAAGTTGAAATCAAGTAACAAACAATAACCTAATGTGACTGTAAGAATGTTATGACGTGATAAGACTACGGTGCTCCTTTGTAAATCGACTACCAAACCCCTATCTGTGGTCAGAACAAAGCTACACAGAGCTACTGTGAAGCGCCATCTAAAACATTAAAGACACATAAAACTGAATTGTCTAAAATGACACTGATGAATTCAGTTTGAAGAACAGGGCTGGCGTCATTTATGATTTTTGCCTTCTAACTTTTTTCATCCATATTAACGAACTCTGTTTTAAATGAGAGGTGTGCTATGAAACGAGATGAAAGGTCAGCGAGGTAGGTTGAGAGTTTTTAAAGTCACAAAGGCCTCTCTCTTTTAACCTCTTACATCGCCACGGTAACTGATGCTGCACAGCTAACCTGTAATGTCCAGAGTTTGGGGTTTACAGAAGAAGCGCGACTCTTTCACAATTCTTTTTTTTCTTTTTTTTTCCTTTGAGCAACATACATTTTCAGCTGAGGGCAGACAGCCGGATGAAGCAAACCTGGGTCAAAAAAAAAAAAAAAAAAAAGCTGATAACTCTCATCGTGAAACCCATTTTCTGCCTGGCTCAGTCAAACTCACCTCCTAGTAAATCCCTCAGGAGGATTTTATTTTAGTTATGGATTGTTTTCAGGTGCAGATCAATACACATTTGAATTTCTGGTGAGTATTTTATGGCAGCGGGATCAACTACAGCTCATCATAACGAAGTGAAAAGTCAAAGTTTGGGCTCATTGACAGAGTAATTCACTATATTAAGCGTTGAATAGACTTGCAGGATGTATTAGTAGGACATGTATATTCATTGTTGATTTTGGTCTATTTTTTGACAAAACACAAAACATACAGGAGTTGTTGTCTCTCCCTCTTTCATCAAAGCCTCACAGTTAATTAACCCAGGAGTCCACTTGATTTGTCAAGTTCAGTATGTAGGTCACATCAGGCTCCGAATGCAATCATCACTGTTTATGTAAAGACCTGTCACACAAGGCTCGCCCCTTCCTCTTAACACACGGCAAGAGTGCGTAACCCCGAAACCATGAATATGCAAACACAACCAAAACCCCAGGAATTATCCTTGAACTGACATCTCGCGCTGAGTTCCAGAACATACCAAACGCCGCCATCACCCGCACAAATCCACTGCTGCTTAATCCCACTTGACATTAATATGCACGAGCAGCACACGAAGAAAGGGATAAGTGTCAAACCAGGAAACACCACCTCTGCACAGCATGTGGCACGCAGAGAAAGTGTACTAATCTCTGTGTGTGGCATAAATCACACGTACAGTATAATAAAAATCCGTGGTGTAAAGTGTGCGGCGGTGGCATTTTATTTCTGATTCAGAATTCATTCACTCTACATAAAGCAGAAAAAAGGAGAACAGTGACTGGCAGCACTTACAGCTTTTGGGTCCTTATGGTGGAGCTGAGCTGCTGTGACTTGTTTCAATCCACCCGGATACCTTTGGAGGAAACACAAAGCTACATCAGTCCACGCTGTGCATGACAAACTACAGCCAGTATTTTTGCCATCCGATGAACACCTGATACTGTCTGAACACAGTTAACTAATGTAATGAAGTGTTCTGTTTTTAACCCTCTTAGCCCCAAACAGGGGGTTTGCTTCTTCTTTCTTGTCATGTTTTTTCCCTCACTGTGGACTCATTTTTCCAATGAAATATAAATTCCTGCACCTCTATGGGAACAGCACAACCATGGCTAGAAGGAGAGAGACTAAAAAATGTCCTCTGTGCAGTACAACACACTTCCACTGGCATCATTTATAAATAACTTAATGAATTAAATTAAAACGGGGGAGAATCAGCATGAATGGCATTTTTAAAGCGCCCAAACATGCTACCAATACTGGAAAAAATTAGGGTCCACATGTTATAGATGGGGGCTGCAGGGTGGTGCAGTTGGTAGCACTGCTGCCTCGCAGTAAGAAGGTCGCTGGTTCGCGTCCCGGTGGGAGCACCGGAATCTTTCTGCGTGGAGTTTGCATGTTCTCCCCGTGCAGCATGGGTTCTCTCCAGGTTCTCCAGCTTCCTCCCACAGTCCAGAAACATGTTGAGGTTAATTGGTGATTGTAAATTGTCCGTAGGTGTGAATGTGAGTGTGCTTGGTTGTCTGTCTCTAAGTGTAGCCCTGTGATACACTGGTTACCTGTCCAGGTGAACCTGCCTTCACCCTGAGTCAGCTGGGATAGACTCCAGCCCCCCATGACCCTAATGAGGATTAAGTGGTGTATAGAAAATGGATGGATGGATGTTATAGATGGGCTGTTTGACTAATTCTATATAACTTCTACAAAGTGTTTCACTGTGCTGAATGTATCTTGCAACTACGTCCACTGCATACTGTTTTTTAGCCATGCTGCATTTATTTGAGTCAAAAAGTTTGCATATTTTCCTCCCATCGTGTCTGCTCTGTTTTATATAACTACAGTCAGCAGTAAACCCACACGGCCACTGAATTTTTGTCATGTGACTTTTGTCCACAGCTGAGTGTGTCATGGCTTCTTAGTTGCACTTTGGTAGGCAGAATCTTTGTTTTTTTATTTGGTCTTTTTTCTACAAACTGTTCATTTTTTGGCATTTTTTTGGAACGAGACATTCAGGATAAAGTTATTTATTGAAATACTACAGTTTTAATCTTATTTCAGGCTATTTTTCCCGACAGTCATACCTCATCCATTATGCATTCATGGACTATTGAAAATTAAAAACCTGACAACTCTTTCTGTTTTTGCAGTTTTTTTGTTATGATAAATGGGGGAATTTTGGTCATTTCATAAAAATAAAATCATGCCAGTGGGTGCTGGGGTTCAGAGGGTTAATATGAATTTTAATCAAATAACAGTTCTTCCTCAAACAGTGGAAATGCATCAGCCACTTGCAGGAAATGGGTAATGCATTTTAAATCCTTCCCTGCAGCCAAGGAATGTTAGAGGACCTAATGCAGACATCACCGTGTGCTCTTTTAAAATGCCACACTACAAGCAACTTAAGAGAAACATCAACCACTGGCAATCTTTAAGGTAAACACTGAAGAGAGAAAACAGATTATATGGCGAAGTCTGTCTTCATCTTTTATTCTCATGGAGCATTTTCTAACAGACACTGAGGAGCAAAAACAATTGGGAACAAAAACATAACCAAGGTGGAATGACCACATCAGGCAGTACTACGCACTTACCCCGAGTGTGATGAGTAGACTTTCTGCTCCCATTTGTTCCCAGAGAAAGCTATGTGTCTGGTGTTGATTACTACCACGTGGTCCCCGCAGTCACCTGTGAAGACGTTCAAGAGGTTTGTTTTCAGGGTTATTATTACGCCTGCAACGGTTTTCAAAGATACTTGAGTCTATTTGATTAGAGAAACAGAAAGATCACACATAGCTGGTCTATCAATTACAAAAATTTACCCAAAACACAAGTTAATATAAGAGATCAACAAACATTAATCTTCAAATAAGCATACAGTATTACCAGAATATAACTTTATAAAGTATGAGTAAGAAGCAAACAAAAACCTTTTTTATAAAGTTTGTCCTCTACTGCCATCATGTGGCTGTGCCATGCAACAGCAACCTAAATTAAACTATATTTTCCTGGATAGGAAAAGCTGTATTGTATAGATAATGTAAGGCTTACATTAAAGGTAAAAAGCCATTTGTGGTTTTAAGTGTGTGTGCTCTGTGACAGATGAAGTTGTTACTCACTCAGTGCGTGATAGATAGGCTTGTGCTTCCCCTGTAATCGAACAGAGCACATGGTTGCGATCTTGCCAGGCGGCTGCATCCTGGCATCTATTACGAACCAGGAACGAGCGAAAGTCGCCCATTGCTAAAAGAAAATATGGAGAAAGAATGAATTACATAAACAGGCAGAGGACCATAAGAAATAGGAGAGGCACTCTGTGACAAAATAACTTTATCATAAAAGTTATGATGCCACAAAAGGCAAAGCACGGACGTAAATTACAAAATTATGCTGGTTCATTTTTAGTGCTTTTCAACGAGTCAGAATGTCTGCTGTGAAAACAACAAACAGTCTCAGACAAAGTGGAAATCTGCTTTTAGTTTCAAGTTATTTATAGGATCGCTAAAATATTTCTATGAATTGGAAAACTAGTTTATTTCCTATTTGTGTTGGGTATTGTACTCCTCCAATAGTAGTGACACCGCAATAGTGCAACTAAAACCATTTATCTGAACCAAATAAACCGCAAGTAATTACTCCTGAAGTGCATTGAATTACAGAAAGCCTCACCACCATGCAGACATCCAATCCCATTTCTCTATGATGCAAACATTAGCTAACTTCCTTAGGCATCAATAAAACTGTATTATAGCTTATCTTAACCAGATATGAAGAAAGGAATAAATGTCTCTACATAGCATGTAGCAAACACTACTGTCGTCTTTTGGTTTTGTGTGTAACATTTGTTTGTTTAGTATGTCTGCCCATCGTTGTGTGGCATGTGGACAAGAAGGACTTCTGAAGGCCGACTTCCTGTTTTCATTTTAATTGTTGTGTTTGTTTTGTTTTAGTCATTCCCTATTCCAAAGCACTGTGAGCAATGAACAGCCGTAGACCTAGTAGTACTAAAACCATCTAATCCATCGAACCAGACGAAATTCCTAGAGGGAAAAAAAGTCAAAATTATCTGACGAGCTTCTTAAAAGTGAATATTTTATGGTTTCATTTCTCCTCTATGATAATAGCTTAAATGTCTTGAGATTATGGGAGAAAGAGCATTTAATGATGACAGCACCTTCAGATTGTCTGTCATTTGGGATTTTTTTGTTGCAGTAGATATTGTCACATATCAAATAATAGCAAATGTACTGCTATAATTCTCAGTCAGAGGCTTGCTTAATATGTGTCCTGTAATGTGAGCTCTTACAATATGAATGTGAATTAAATCACGTTCATGGTGCGAGTATTTGTTCATGTTTGATAGGTCATGATATTCATTATGGACGTAGAAGCACCAAGAATTCAAATGTGTTCCCTTTCTTGTAATAAACCTTTAAATGTTAAAATCACATCGAGCTTTAAACTGAATGCAGCTATTGTACTTAGCACAAGATCGTTGTAAATAAATATGTCCAAAGATCCTCAAAATAACACTTTAGGCTAACGTAGTTTGACATAAAACGTTATTTAAAGGTTCAAACGAGCTAACGGCTAACTTAAACTAATACTGGGCATGTGGCTATAACAGTTCTCGCAATTGAGTTTCAGTGGGTTCCTACAGTTTCGCTTTATTAGATATTATTTAGGTATTTATTGTCCATCAGCTAGCCGTTATAATAATAAAATCAGACACACCGTGGCTGCTTCGTTAGCATCGGTAGCTAAACGTGCGACTGAAACCCGCTACATGCTAACTGGTACCTTTGAAACTGTGCATTAAAAACTAAATATCACTTCGAGTAAAATTTTACTGTCAAATTACCTGGGCAGATCTGGAGAAACTTGACATTTTAAGGACACTACGAGCACATCCTCAAAACAATTGACCCTCAACGTGAGCGACGGTCCGTTTGGGGATTTTGTTCGGTGGAAACAAGATCCGAAACTTCAACCGTTCCTACTTACAGGTTCAGTCGTATTTCGCTCATGCAGTAAAAGCCTATTGTACTTATTCTTATTAATGGTTACGCTCATTTGAATGCATAGTACACTAAAAGCCTTTTTAAAAATCTCAAAGTAGTTATTTGGCGTTTATTTAAGTTCGCGTTGAATAATAGTTTCTACCCGGTGGTGTTTTGGGGACGCACCTCAACGTAGTTTTCCTCACTTCCTTCCCGCGACAGAAAGAGAGCGGGGAAATTTGACAGTCTCAACACAGCGGGACGGTAACACTAGTTTAGACTTGTTTTAGACATTAGAAAGCGGTCGTTTTCGTCTAAAAAGGTTTATTGATCAAACCATTACCGACTATGAGAACTTTAGAGGAGGTGCAGGCCACCCTGCAGATCGCCAAACTGAAGGAGGAGGATCTACAGAACACCGTCCACTGTCTGTCCTTTGGGGAAAACGTTTCGTCTGCAGACTACTGCCTGATGGAGCTGGACGACACACTGTGCAAACACATCGAAGCTGGTCAGAGGTGAGAAGTCAATCAAGTCAATTAATGAGCTTAATGAGTCTGTGTGTAGTGAACGGACTGACAAGAAACATGGATCAGATGAATGATTACAACTTAAACAGGAGCAGAGCTGCAATGATCCATCGATTATTTGTTGTTGTTTTAATTTAAGAAAAAAAAAGGTGTTTATTCTCTGATTCCAGCTTCGTATACTTAGATATTTTCTGGGTTATTTCATCCATATGTGACAGTACACTGAGTATCTTTGGACGTTTGAGGATGTCATGTTGATCTTTGGCAAACTGATTTGTCACGAAATTAATCAACAATGAAGATAATCATTAGTGGCAGCCCGAAACAAGAGTAATTATACTCTTAGTTTCCTACAGTGCCGATGTGTCAACCTTCAAAGTGCTTGTTTTATCTAACATCTAACAGGTAATATTATTTACAACGATATGAAACAAAGAAAACCAACACTGATTGAGAGTGTTTACCTAAGAGTCGACTGATTATCAATCCGATATTCAGCTCCTGAATTTTGATATCATTTTTTTTCTTTTTAACTGATTCCTGATAAAATATATATATTTTTAAAGTTCCACTTTGAGCCTGATGCAGTCACTTTCCTATCATTTGATGGAAAGACTTTATTTTTCACTGTAAATGTGTATTGATTCTATTATTACTTATCAGTCTCCTGGATGACTAAAAATCTGTAATCATAGAAATTGAAAAAAAAACATTGGGCAAACCAGAGGTGGAACCAGTGAATTTTTGCAGTTTTATTTGATTAAATGCTTAAATAACCTTTTAAAGTTGTTGTCAATTTATTTAGTACAGACTAACTAATCAGTTAATAAAGGCGTCATTTCAGCATTGCTGCTAAAACCTGGTCAGAGCACCAAGTCGGTAAACCGAAGTCTTTTTCTTTCTCTCGTTTCTACCACAAATAATGAACAAGGCTGAAGGTAATTAAAACTGATCTGCAGTGTTGTGTTGTTGTTCTCACATCCTGAAGCAGTTGGATGGATCTTTATATGTAAATAACTTTTAACTAACAATAGTTTTTCTTTTTTCCCCCCCTGCTACCAGTCTAGTCATTCGGGGGGATAAGGATGAGCGTGCAGTGCTTTGTACCGGCGACAAGACGTATGATCTGAAAATAGCCGACACATCCAACCTGCTGCTGTTTGTGCCTGGATGCAGAACACCGGACCAACTGACCAACAGCCAGGACAGCTCTCATGTGGTGCACACTCAGGTATGGACATAACACACAGATGCTTTCCTTCGACTGATGAGCTGGTTACCCACAGAATTAAAAGGCCCAGTCAACTTTTCTATTTATATGCTTCCACTTGGCCAAATTATAAAACATCACAACTTCTTTTCATTACTAAGTAGGCGACACCCAGTTATACCTTCTCCTGAGACCTGAGAAACCTGGCTGCTGTTGTAGATTGTCTCAGTGCTGTCGACTGTTGGACGGTACAAAATTGTCTTCACCTCAATAACTCAACCTATGAACTCAATCGTAATGTCCAGTCGTCCAAACGGCATCAGTCTCACTGACAGCAGCCTTGTTCCCTTGTTGCTAATGTGACGGCTATTGCCAGAAATCTGAGGATGCTATTTGATTCTTTGAACAACAGATCAAAAAAAGTTTCCAGGACTGCTTCTTTCAGTTCAGAACCATCTCCAGAATGTTGCGCTCTATGCTGCAGAAAGCTACTGATGCACTTCTTCTCTCCAGGCTCGACTATTGTAAGGCCATCCTTTACAGCCAAACATCTCTCTCCTGCCTCCAACTAGTTAAACAAAAGCTCGACTTCTCACCAGTTTTAGCCGACGACATCACCCCAATCCTGACTCCTCTGTATTGGCTCCCTGTTTTTTTTTTTTAAGAATATATTTTAAGATTTTAATGAGCCGTTTTTAAAAGCATTTCAAGGTCTGGCCGGAGTCGATCCTTGAATCTAAAAGTGCTTTTGCCATTAGAGCCGCTCGGCACTGAAACAACTTTCCTGAAGAAAGCGTCAGTGACTTCTTTCAAACCACTTCTTAAAAAGTTCTTTAAATGTTTATAGATTTGCTTTAATGTGATAATATATGTCTACTTATTTTTAAGGTTTTATGGCATTTAGTGTTTTATTTGTATTTATTCATATTCACATATTGCGTTTTGTATTTTTGCATCAAATGTCTTGTTTTACTTTCTTTTAAATTCACCGTAACGTTGCTTTATTTGGCCTTACTCGTGTTTTTTTCCCTCTAGGTAGCCTTGTTTTACTCTGCCCTTCAAAGCACCTTGTAAGCCTTGGTTTTTAGAAGTGCTACATAAATAAAGTTTTTTTTATTTCTTGTTTTTGTAGATTTGGGGATTTTGTAACAGCTACTGGGAGCTGAGGAAACAGAGGCCTAAACTGAAGAAGCTGAAGAAGCTTTTAATGGAGAATCCTTATGAAGGGCCTGCATTAGGAGGGCAGGAGGAGAACACAGAGAACAGGGTAAGTACAAAGCACAATATGGAACATAATTATTACACTGTGTAATCTCAGGTGTTGATATTAATGAGCAACTAGTTAGACTGTTGGTTAGATTTTTTAATTGAAAATGGAAAAGACAACGTGGTGGCAAAAGTCGAGATCATTTGTTTTAACCTAAACGTCTGCATGCTAAAAGTTTTGATTATTCCAAATAATTGATCTGTCAGTTGAAATACCAGTGCAGCGCTAGCTGACCGGGTCATGTAACACATCTGGTGAAAGATTATATTCTCTGTATCTATAGTTGTACATACATTTTCTGTCACGGACTTTAAGAGGACAGTAAATCTGTGTTTTGAGTGTTCTTCATTTTCAGTGTTACTGGAGCTGTTTTTGTGCTCTGTTGCTAGTACACAATGCAGGACCTGCTGGAGAGGATTCAGGCCAGTGAAGAGGAGATAAAGACCCACTTAGAAACCATCCACGCCTGTCAGATAGACGGTAAACAGAGACATTTTTGTCATTTCTGGATCAGCATGTGCATGTATGGTTGAAGTCCATTTCACTTGCTGATATTAATAAAAGCATGTTCTCCCCGTGCAGCGTGGGTTCTCTCCGGGTTCTCCGGCTTCCTCCCACAGTCCAGAAACATGCTGAGGTTAATTGGTGATTGTAAATTGTCCGTAGGTGTGAATGTGAGTGTGCTTGGTTGTCTGTCTCTAAGTGTAGCCCTGTGATAGACTGGTTACCTGTCCAGGTGAACCTGCCTTCACCCTGAGTCAGCTGGGATAGACTCCAGCCCCCCATGACCCTAGTGAGGATTAAGCGGAGTATAGATAATGGATATTAATAGAAGTAGGTATCTATTTTAGTTCTAGATGTTTAGAGACAGTATCTTTCTACTTGCAGGCTACTGGCGAGTCCTGGATTTTGACTATGAGATGAAGCTGCTCGGTCACGTCACTCAGCTGGTAGATTCTGAGTCTTGGTCTTTCCACAAGGTTCCCCTTAAAACCAGTCTGGAAGAGTTGGCCCCACTGGAGCCCAGGTGAGTTCATGTTTGACACTTAAGAGAGCTAGAAAATCTAAATATATATATAGGTTATAGTGACTTTCTGCGCATCTTTTCCAATGATACTATTTTCTTTCTTCTTCACAGAGACATGATCGAGCACTGTCTGAACTGCTACGGGAGACGCTTCACCGAAAACGGTACAGAAAACCAATCTTAGCGTTCAACTGACAGGTCATAAGATTTAAATCAGCGGCAGAATCTCACAGAGTCTGGAACTGCTCAGTACTCACACATCCTCCTTCCTCTGTACAGATGAGGTGTTTTATGCGCTGCATGCGGATAAAGTGTGTCGGGGTTTGGCACTGATGCTGCTGCAGAACGCCGTCAAGTTCAACCTGTGGGAGTTTCAGGAGGTCTGGCAGCAGAGCGTCCCAGAGGGAATGAGCACGAGACTGGACCAGCTGAAGGTGATCCTGTTAGAGCCGAAGTTGTTTAGATCCACTTCAGCGTGAAGCAGAAGTTATTTAGGATAATGATTAGTAATGCACTAACTGGAGCTGCCCCCATCTACTATTAGATTAATCAGCTACTATTTTAATACTTGAATAATCTGTCTGAGTAGGCTTTTCAGAATCAAAGGTCTAAACGATCTGGTTCCAGTTTCTTAAGTGTTAATATTTTAAGGGCATTTGAGGATATCATCTTGGGCTTTTGGAAACACTGACCAACATTTTATTGACCCAACAATCAATTGAGTAAATCTAAAAAAAATCTAATCTAATCTAATCTAAAAAAAAAAAAGAAAGTTGTTTTGCACCCTAATAATAACCCTATAAATTCCACAGACTCTTCTTTAGTTTTTATCTAATTATTGTCTGTTGAGCCACTTTGCATCTTGCCGTACCTTCCCAGTGCTGAATCAACTGTGGATCTTTCAGAGTGTCGCCCTGGTGGATCGCACCTCCAACCCAGAGACCATCTGCCTGCTGCGGGTGGAGGATCTTCCAGAGGACACGGTGGAGCGCTTCAACCACCTCTTCACACTCCGAGAGAAATGGACAGAGGAGGACATCACACCCTACATACAGTTAGTGTTTACCCATCTGGGAAATTATCACAACTTCAAATTAGCCTCATGATTTGTAACATAAAGATGATTCATTATAATGTGTCACGCTCCTCATCCAGAGACTTGTGTGGAGAGAAACAGACAACCGGAGCACTTCTGACCAAATACGCTCGATCTTCGATGCAAAACGGGATTAAAGTCTTCAACTCCAGAAGGCCTGTGGTCACATGAACACGTCTGCTGTCATCTGGAGATGTATGTGGTTGTGCTTATTTCCACAGACACTTTTTCAACACTCTGTCAAAACCAGCTAACTAGTGAAGATGTAAGTTTAACTAGTCAGCTTGTGGATGAGCAAATTAAAAAGGTTTTTGTCACCAAAGTTAAACTGGAGCTTTGTTTCAGTTTTTATTTTGTCTGTAAAGAAATAAATGTAATAAAAAATTGTTTGTCATAATGTTACCGATATCAGTGGTTTTCTCTGTTTTCTATCAACCGCAATTTATGTCCAGCAAGAAAATGTATTACAGGAATTTACCGAGTGCTGTGCTGGAGATTGTCCACAAGGTGGTGCTCTCTGCTGATAAAACTACATGAGCTCCACATGCTAAAGAATAATTCAGCTGTTGTCTTGTGCATTAAAATTACATCTAAAAGTGATTGTTTCCATTTATTGACTGCTTAATGTTGCTTCACACCATCAGCTTTCAGACATTAAACTGATTTTTGGGTTTTGGACAAAATAAAAAAACAGCTTAATACGGAAAATAATCAAATATTAAACCTGTGAGTGAAAAAAAAAAGCCACTAGGAGCACAGTTTCTGCTCTACTTGGATGCTTTCGCCTGTAGTTTTGTAGTGAGCAAGAACAGAACGTGATAACATGGAACAAGTGAGGCTAAATTACCATTTTGTGGTGTGAAGTCATGTTTTGTGATTTGTGTTCATGATTAATAGCTGAAGTCAAGCTGAGCAGAGGTTAAAGGGAGTAAATCATATGTCGTCAGCGTTTTTGGCTAAATACGGTTCAAACATCACAATCCCGTCAGCTTGATAGCTGATGATGACCTCAGCTGATTTAAACAAGAGGCACTTCAGCTGTCACGGCAAAAAAATGTAAACTGTAAATCACAATGTTATACAGAAGAAGATCCGAGAAGTGTGTTAGAAATGTGGATAAGAAAATGAGGAGGGAAGCGTTTTGTTTATAATTAATACAACAAAACAAAAAAAAACTAGAGAGAAGATAAACAGCGTGACAAACCAGAGGAGTCTGGGTAAAATGGATGAGAGCAAATTCAGAAAGTATTAATGTTGCATTGGATTTCAAAAATTTAAAACATTGTGATATGTAGTTAATAATGTAATATTTACTCTCTCTATATATATTTTTTTTAATTTCTAGATAGTAGCAGAAAGGTCACTTCATCCATCCATCCATCATCTCTACACCTTAATCCTCACTGGGGTCATGGGGGGCTGGAGTCTATCCCAGCTGACTCAGGGTGAAGGCAGGTTCACCTGGACAGGTAACCAGTCTATCACAGGGCTACACTTAGAGACAGACAACCAAGCACACTCACATTCACACCTACGGACAATTTACAATCACCAATTAACCTCAGCATGTTTTTGGACTGTGGGAGGAAGCCGGAGAACCCGGAGAGAACCCACGCTGCACGGGGAGAACATGGAGACTCCACGCAGGAAGATCCCGGGTGTCCTCACCGGGACACGAACCCGGGACCTTCTAGCTGCTAGGTGCTAACCACCGAGCCACCTTGCAGCCTGGGGTCACTCCACTGACTGCTCTATAGATCATCTGAAATCTCACACAGGAGATTCAGTTCAGTTCAGTTTTATTTCAAAATTCATGCACAAGTCAGAGCACTTTATATAAGGTGAAGGTCTTATAATATTATCAAGAGAAATCTATCAAATCCAAACTTTTCCCTTTGATCAAGCCTTCTGACAACCAAACAAATCATTTTTAACATGAAAAACTTGTAGCAGAACCAGGCTCGGGATGGGCAGACATCTGCTACGACCAGTTTGGGTGAAGGAGCGAAAACAGACTAACGAGGAAACCAGTAACTGCAGATATGAAGCGCCTGCAGGGAGAACAAAACACAATAGCGACGAGCACCGATGGCTTATAATCACAAGTTACTCCTTAGTGTCAACCTACAGCAGCTTATCTAAGAGATAGTTCAGGGTCAGGTGTCCAGAAACAAACCAGTAACCGACAAACCGTATCAATAAGTTACGTTTCGGGCCTAATCTTAAAAGCATAAAGGGCCTCTGGAAGCCAAACTGGGAGCTGATTCCCCCACAGAGGAGCCTGATAACTGCTCGATAGTACGGAACAATAAGGCCTTTGACATGCAGAGGAGTTCACGGTCATGAATGGATCTGAAGTTCTGTTCTGGGAGCCGATGAGGAGCAGCCAACATCAGAGAAATATGGACGCTCAACACTCAAACACTCGTCTTCTCCACTTGATCCCATTTGTTTCTCACACATTGGTAATTGCCAGTGTCCTTCCCGGGTGCCACCAGAAGGTGATATTTTTCCCAACAAAAGGAATAATTCTGCTTCTCTTTTGCAAAAATTAACTACATGAGTTTAAAACAGGACCACTGTTCATCCCAGAAAAGTCTCACCTTCAAAAAACAAACTGTGAAACGTCAACAAAACACACACACACACACACACACACACACCGTCATTACTGATTGATTAATTAATATTTTGGATCGACGAGAGGTTGGGACATCCTGACAATAATGTACGGACTCTTGTAGTTTTGTAGCATCAACCTGATGTTCCTGATGTCGTCAACAGATTCACAGATCATCAGAAGAATATCACACTTGATGCTTGACACTAAAGATGAAACTATCTGAGTGACAGATGTGTCTCTCTGATGTTCATGTGTGTTTGTGGTTTTCTGTAAGTCACAACAGTGGCACATGTGTGTGTGACTCAGTGTGTGTTTAAACATGCACAGACTGTGTTTCTTCACTAACAAAACTGTCTGTGCGTGAATCACAGTGTTCCTGACACATAAGTGGGAGCTCAGCAGACGCTGGCAAAAAGCTACGCAAATTTCTGTTTCAACACAATGACTTTATCTGCTCTGGCCGGCTGACTAACCTTGACATCACCCGCTGGGAGCGCTGACTTATCAGTTCACGGGCTAACACATCCCAGCTGTGCGTGTGTTTGTTGTAGCTGCTGTGATGGTCGGCACATCGCCCACAAAGTGATTCATTCTCTTTACTTCCTCTCCTCCGCTGTATGATCTTCTTCTTTTTAATTTTGATCTTGTCTTCACGCCATCTTGCTTCCTCCTGCTGCTTTATTCCTCTTTCCTCTTCTCCTTTTCGGCGAACTGGACGTATACATGTCATTCGGCGTCACCTCGTCTCATCTTCCTCTTTCTTCACGGAAACTACGCGATCGGCAAAATTTAAAGAATTACGGCAGATGGGCGTCACTGCATAAAACAATGATTAATAGTTTAATAGTGCACTGATACTTGGGGTCAGATCTTACAAAACATCATGCAAAAGTGACTGAAGGAAAAATAAAGGGAATTAAACACAGTGTGAACATAAATCACTTCAAACATCAACCAAAATAAAACAGTTCAATGAAAATCAGGCTTTTAAAAGTTTGTCTTGAGATAAAACTTATAGACAGCACTGCAATTTCCCAACACTCTGTTTTCTCCTTAATGAACTCACTACTAACACAGAAACACTCATTTATGAGTTCACTTTAGGACTTTCTAATACTTTTTTTTTTTTTAAATCCTACACTTAAAAACATTCTAATATTATCCATGCTGGTGCACATTATGCATCTAAAAATACAGAACCTGAGAAAATCCGCAATCCTACTCCTTAAAAATTGATTTTTTTTAACTTGAAAATCTGCATTTTTCCACCGAATCTAAACACGATGTGTTTTTCTCTGCTAAAAATCATCCAGATTGTCATGTAGCAGGATCTTATAGGCATCTATTGTGCTGCATTGGGTTTCAGATAAACTTTTACGTGTCCTCTCTTTGGTTCTGGACATTAGCTTGCTTCACATTCAAAGTAATTTTTATAGATCTAAGAGATTTCAATCAATCACAGAGTTTTCTTCCTCTCTCTTGTTGATCTAAAGTCAATTTACATTCAAATTGTAAACAGAAACCGACATTAAAAAATCAACTATTCAATCTCAAGTATTTCTGGATTCAACCCGGCGTTCACTGATCCGATAATCCCGCCGTTGTTGCTACCTGGGCAGCATGTCCTGCAGGTCGGCCACCACGTAGGAAACCACGGCCCACAGTGCCGAGCAGAGGTTCATGTCTCGGGGGTCCTGGACCGCCATGGTGTCGCCTTCGCTGTGGTGGAACCAAAAGTAGCGACTGTCGGCCACGTGGAGGCTGGAACCTGGAGGACGGACAGAAAAGATGCACGCAGAGAGTTTAATGATTAAATACAAACTGTTGTATTAATATATCTAAACATACAACAGGTTATATTTACATATCACTGTATGTTTTCACTATAGTTTATTTGTGCATTCAACACTTTCTAGTGCATTCATCCCTTCAGTACTTTTTTACTCATCATTTATTGGGTATTTTACTCTATATTTTTCTCATTTTTTTACTTTGCTTACTGGATATTTCTGCTTATTTATTTGAATTTGTGGTGGTGGTCACTATACTGGTTCTGCTCGCTACTGGAACAACAGAATTTAACCCATTGGGAACAATAAAGCATTTCTATTAAATTCTATTCTCAAAAATACTTGGACACTGGTGGAGAATGAAGGAAGAAACCCTGTTATGTTGGTTTTAATCCAAACTTTAACGTCACTGTAGCTACTTTTCAACTTCAATCTGCGTATTATCTTCTTTGCTTTGCTTTTGGTTCTGTACTAGAAAACAATCCTTATTTTAAAACAATGTTTTCATATATATCATCTTAAAGTACTTCTGTTTTGGGAACTTTAGTTTGTAAACAAAGTTTTAATCCACTTTTTGGGTCAGGAAGCACTTCTTCCAATCCACCACCATAGTTTTACTTCAGTTTCCTTTGGGATCATGACTAAGTGAGTGTGAAGGACAAATTAGATGTGGACAAAGCGAACAAGTAGATGTTGGCTTTAGATTGTCTCTCTAGCTATTACAGTATCATAAATAGTGGCAGAAATGCATTTCTTATGCCAAGAATTACTTTTCATGTATAACTACAAGCCAACGTGAACACGTGTGCTACAGATGAAATCATAGCTACTGAGTTAGCGCGCCAATAAACCCATCTCCATGATTGATGAAGACCACGTTACAGGGTTCAAAGCACAAAGAAAAGCTTGTAGAAATATCCTGAGTTATAATTTTAAGAGTAAATCAAATTATTACTTTAACAAAAATGCTGATCTGAAATACTGGACAATCAAACCAAAACTCCAAACAAATTTCTGTGCTATCTGGCCCTTAATCCATCCATTATCTATAAAATCCTCACCAGGGTCATGGGGGGCTGGAGTCTATCCCAGCTGACTCAGGGTGAAGGCAGGTTCACCTGGACAGGTCACCAGTCTATCACAGGGCTACACTTAGAGACAGACAACCAAGCACACTCACATTCACACCTACGGACAATTTACAATCACCAATTAACCTCAATATCTTTTTCAACTGTGTGGGAGGAAGCCGGAGAACCCGGAGAGAACTCACGCTGATGCCCCCACCGGTACACGAACCGGGAACCTTCTTGCTGCGAGGCAACTGTGCTACCCAACCAACATTTAAATTGGCAGAATATCTCTTTACTGTCAGAGATCGAAAGCCGAGACAGATACTGACCACAGTCTGGCCACAGAGAGAGAACGAGACAAGAAGCTGTAGCTACTGACAGAAGGAAGAGTCTGTGGTCACTTCACGAAAGGCGAGACAGACAAGCACTTCCTCTAAAATGTGACAGCTGTACTGCTAAGAAGATAGAAATACTTCAAGATATTTGAATCCCAAACTTCACAGAACGAGACGACGATGAGAAGCAACAGCAGAGAGACACATGATTAAAACATTACTGAATGTGACAAATCATTAGATGTCCTATGTATGCTGTACATGCATTTTCCATGTTTAAAAAAAATGTGTGTAACCTTAATTAATTATCTTAATTAGACAGGTGATTTCTTCAACTATATAATATTGTGGGGTCCTAGCCTTAATATTTAATCAGCCAGGTGAATTTCTATTTTATATAATGTTGTAGTATTTTAGCCGTATTAACTAAGTTAGTCAGGTCAATTTTTAATGTGATTTTTTAAAATGCTATTATTATTTCTCTACTTCAAAGCACTTTGGCTTCATGTCATACACTAATACTGAGGACTTGACTTTAGCACTGAGTATTGCTGTGATTTTAACTTTTGCCTGTCAAAGCACTTTGCAAACCCTTTTCTTTTTTTTAAAGTGCTATATAAATAAAAATCCTTATTAACATACGTACGCCATACACACATGCAAAACTCATTTGCATTTATTTACTTTTTTTTTGTCCTCTTATCCACTTTTATTGTAATTAAGAATCTTTTTTTTTAATCTCCTCATTTTTAAATCACACCATCCTTGATGCTTTGACAATATTGTTTACTTGATATTTATGCCAAAGCAGCACGCTGAGTTGATTTGTTTGTTTGTTTGTTTGTTTGTGCTGCCAGTCCAGCACTCTGCCCTCCACACCTGTAGGGCGCAGCACAGCAACAGTAACTGATGAATGAGCTGATTGGGCCACAGAAGGAATAAGTTTGTTTTGTTTTTTAGCTTGAAGTGACGCTCAAACATGGGTCTGAGATGCACCAGCAGGGAGAGCTTCTACCGTACATCAAGCCGCTGCCTGCGCGCTCTGAGGCGGATGGACATCCCGTCTGCTCCCGTCTGAAACCTCCACTTTACGCGAGACTGCTTTTCCAACCATGCAAGGTGGAGACGGGATTCAAGAAGCAGCTTCTCCGGAGCCCTGCTGCGGTGACACGGGTGAGTAAACCCGAGAACCAGTCCGGAGCAGCTTCATAAACACCAGACGCTTTAATTGGTCCTTTGCGTGTGTGTGCGTTAAAGGAGGCTCCAGTTCCAGGACCGCACTTCCAGGCACCGAGGTTTTCGTGACACTGCCACCTACCGAACCGGATCACCGCCCGAGCACCGCATGTCTACGACCTAATATGGACGATAATAAGGCTGTGAGTACTAAATGTGGATAAAGTTTTATTTGTTAGAAATAATAGCAGTGTCCTAAACTGTTCTGCAAAGTAAGCTAACGTTAGCTAGCTTCCTGTTAGCTTGCTGCAAAATGAACTGTTAGCATTTTTATTTGTTAATAGCACGACTTCAACATTCCCAAATAGGTGTTTGCTGAATAACAGTGATAATTAATTGTAGCCTGCACATGATTTAAACTTATAAAATGTGGTAAATATGAGCTGTGGCTGTTAGCCACATTAGATTAGCCCACTGTCCTCAGTGTAAACAATACTCACTGTTACATTAGGTTTAGATGATCCTAATAATTAAAGAACCCCTCTGGTCAAAGTCAAGTTTTTTGTCTTGTTAGCATGTCAATATGGTGTTTTTAATATGCTAGAAGACATATGAGTGACATTAGGAGTCAATGCTATGATGACAGTTTCAAAAACACAGATTCACACTTTCAGGGTTTCATTCATAACAAACTTAAGGAACCGATCCCATCTTGCTGCAGGTGTCAGAATTGATTTCAAGTGCCATGGCAAATAGTAAAGGCCCAGTTTATGTACATCTGCAAACAGTCATAGTAGGAAAACTTTACATCTGTAGTAACAGTAAAGGTATGTCTTTGTGAAACCTTTAATATTTCTAATAAACAAATAATTGTGACCAAACACAACTCTGTTTGCAGTTCACAGTAAAAATCAAGCTTGACATAATACTATAGGAGTGTTTCTAACAGTTATTCTGTATATGTTTGGTATGTCTAGATTGGCCCCTACACTGCAGTTAACATCCATCCATCCATTATCTATACACCGCTGAATCCTCACTAGGGTCGCGGGGGGGCTGGAGTCTATCCCAGCTGACTTAGGGCGAATGCAGTTAACATGATTTATAGAAAATATCTCCTTTGCAACCTACAAAATACCTGTATGGCATGAGTTATATTGGTCCTTAAAAGTTATTTCAACTGGAAAAACAGAACAGAATAGATTGTAAATTGGTGCACAGACAGAACATCAACAATATTGCGAAGAAGATGCAACATGTAGTTTTGCTAGGCTTACTGTATGTCTGTGAAAAGACTTCAAACTGTTCAATTTGACTAATTCAGGCTTTCTCCTTTTCAAGATGCACGTAACGATCCAAGAAGGGAACTCCTTGCCTGAATTGAAAAGATGCACCACGTGCTGCACAGACTTCCACTGCCCGTTCTGTAGCTCGGTGCTGTTCCACCCAACGAGGCCGAGCAAGGTCAGGCTCCATCTAGAGAACCACTTCAACCGTGCCGTTCTCCATGAAGGTAAAGTTTGCAAACATGCTCTTGGGAAATTTAAATAGAGTTACGATGTGTCTGTGTTTTAGAAGCGACTTGAATGTTTTGATCAATTCCATTTGAGCAATGAGCCACAAACAAGTTCCTCTTTGATTTGTTTGTAGTCGGAACACACTTATAACTTTAAACAATATGATCATAAAATAATAACACTATGTTTCTATGTTCTTATGTTTAGGGTACACCATCCACAGATGTGGGTTAGTCTGCCGACCACGTTGGCATTACCACTGCCTCTACTGCCACTCAATGCTGTCACGCAAACGGGACTTCATGAGACACCTGTGTTTGTGCAAAGAGAAGCACCCTGCTTTAACCGTCACCATCCAAACTCCAAAAATGTCTAATGTCCCAACTTCAACAGCTTCCACCAGTCCAGCTCCGTCAACTTCCATCACTGCAGCTCCAACAACTCCCCAAATTAAATCTGAACCGCCCCTCCATGTGCCAAACACCCCAAGTGGACAGATCCAACGTATTTGTGTGATTCCAATACTACAGAAGAACCTTCGCGTTTACAAGGTGTCTTGCATTTTTCTAACCTTTGAAATATCTGGTTGAAACTCAGCAAATTCCATCTTTGTTTTACCTGATAAAACTATCAGCAGCCAAGTTACATTACAAGACAGAAGGGAGCATTTGGGTGGAATAAACCTCTTAAATTACAATCTGTTAGACCGAAAGTATTAATTGGCTTAAATACTGATGTGGTTGCACTTTTGCTGTCACTGGATTCTCAAGGTGCCAAGGAAAAAGCTCGGGTGACAGAAATGTGGTCCTCAACATGCAGCCTCCTCTGTGACAGAAACATAATATAGATTCTGAGGCACATTGACAGTTAATTTAAAGTCACGTTTTAAGCATTGAGACTGGATCAATCCAAACTTTGCGAGAACCAAGTGTCAAATCAGAAGCTGCATGAAAGAACAAAGAACATTGTCCACATCCTAAAATTACTCTGCAGTGACAGAGATGCTGTTGACACAGTTCATATCACCCCGTTAGCATTTGGCGCCCAGCTTCTGCTTTTTTTTGGGCAGACTCCACCTTTAACTACAATATTTTAATGCTCAGTACATTTCATTCAACATAATGCTTGGAAATATTAGAAAAAGGAAATACATTCCTGTTAGGGTGTGTTGCTTATACAGTAAATCCCTTAAAACTGAAGCATAAGTGTCAGAAAATATGCCGAACATTGGCAATTAAAACAGCTGTTTGAGCATCACAGGCTTTGAAAATAATACAGCTGAGAAATGTTTTATTAAATGAATGTGAGCTGATCCACAAATGTAACTCCAAGCTGACCTAAAAAGTTGCAGCCCTTATCTTTATATAGCTGTTTATTTATTGTGACAAATAAAAAGGTTATTAGTTATTTAATTTTTCTATTTCCATCCATTTAAATAAACAACACTCTGCAGTTTTAAGAATGTGGGGAAGTCCCAGTGTCAAAACATCAACACACAAACTGAAGCCTGCACATATGAGAACCAAAAAAAAGCCACAATTTGAGATTCGATTCTGCCCACATTTTAGGAACAGTTTCTAACCTAAAATGCTGATTTCAATGATATTTTTGATGATGGGAGCATAAAGTGTTGTTGTTGTTGTGTCTCGGTTTAGGGCAGCGGTGGAAGCATTTATCACGTGCTGCCTGCTGTCCGACACGTAGCCTCCCAGACTGATCCCCCAGAAACAGCGTCCGTCGGCACGCAGATGTCCATGACCGCTCCACAATCCCACAAAGTGCAGAAGTCCCTCCGAAGTACAGGTTTGTAGTCCTACAAACTGCTTTCATGTAGTGCGCTTATTCATATTGCAAAATCAGACACAACTTATCAGGATTACTTTTTTTTTTTTTTATGTGCTTGAAGCTACCCAGGTGAAAGTGCCCAGCAGAGACTGTGGGGTTTGCACCCTCACCCTCCCGTTGGACAGCCCCGCACTGTTCCTACAACCAACTCTCAAAAAGACACCACCCAAGAGACCTCGGCTGAGCCTTACAGAGGAGGAGGAAGGCCCTTCAGAATGCAGCTCGTCTAAAGTGGTTGGTGAACCGGAGGATTCAACGTGACGCAGAGGACTGCCGTGGGTTGTCTTTCTTGAATGTTTTCAGAAATCGCTTCGTGGACATGAGGACAAATAAGAACACTACACACAACTGGCAAGAACCCTCTACAAGGGAAATGTGCACCAAATTATTTACATCATGTCGTACTTTTTGTATCCGCTTGAACTGTTACTTATCTGAATGTTCATGACTGCATTTTTCATGGTTTCCTTTTACTCCAGCTGACAGTTACACACACACGTCTTCACATCCCAGAACATCGAAAAAGAAAAGGTTCAGAGAAAAAAACAAAACGCTGCCTTTGAGGGAGGCACTAAACCTTTGAAAATATTTAACAACACAACAATGTAATCCAGTGTGTTTCTAGTTCTAGAGGGGCTGTGCTGCTGGTCTGCCTGGCTGAAGGTCCACATGTTTGTTGTTGTTGTTGTTGTTTTCATTCCCTCTCTACGGTTTATATGACACCGTCTATCTGAGCGTACTGCAGTTCCACTACTGCTAAAACCACAAACCTGACTTGCTATGATTTCATGCCGTTGCTGCTGAACGAGCTAGTTTATTTGCAGTATGGCATTTTTTATAGGAAAAGGTAAGAATGTTGACAACAGAGCAGGTTTGCATGAAACCTCATTCCTCTGTTGGCTGGTGAGCTGCCAGCAGCCTTTGTAAAGCTGGATCCTGTTTTCTGTGTTGCATCACTAAGCAACTGTACAATTTTTATGGAAAAAACTAAAACCACATGCAGGTTGTAATAAAACCAAGCCCTGGTACACTGATTACAGACTTTTGTTTTCTTATTTAGTAATTGTTCACTGACCTGTGCTGTGTCAGGAATCTCGGTGTCCTGTTTTATAAAACAATCTTTAGACTGAGTTGACCTTGTTTGTGCATCGTTATTCACTTATAATCTCCATACCTTTGCTAATTATCTTGCAGTTTAAATCCAGATTTCTAAGAAACCCAACCACCAGCAATATAAACCAGTCACTGAAATAACAGACATTTCAGCTACACCAAATAATCTTGAGTTAAAAAGTGATTTCAAAGGTCATATGCAAAGAAACGAGGCGCTGTATTCAACTGAAACGCACCGAGCAGATGTTACTGAGCCGTCACTTAAAGAGCTAAAACATCATGTGTTTGAAAATCCTCCGACTGCATTGATGGAAAACACAAAACATTTTGGCTCAACTTGAAATGTGTTCTGGTCATTGTAAAGACAAAACTATTTCTCACCAGTTTGTAAGTCACAGATCTTTTCCTATTCTTCTTTCTGTGCAGCTGCTTTGATTGAATTAAGCTCACTTCTTCATTACGTCACTCTTACAGGTAACAGTAATTTGTTCCCATGAGGCCCACGAGAGGAACTGAGTTGCTCGTGTCTATATTTTAGTTAGTTTTTTCATTTATTTTGACTTCTTTTTATATTATCCTGCATCTAGTTTTCATTTTTAGTTCATTTTTCTATCAGATGCATATTCCAAAAAGTAGTGAAAACCTTTAATCCTGAATTGAGGGGAACTCCTTAACTTTGTTCCAGAAATAAATATCGCTTTAAGTCAGTACTGAATGATAGATTACCTGCTGATGTAAGATTTTCTGTATATACAAGCAAGAAAACCCAATTCAGGCCCACAGACGAGGAGGAAAGCCCTTCAGCATGCAGCTCGTCTGCAGTGAATCATGAACCAGAAGATTCGACATGACCGTCATTGTTTTGACAAGTAAAGCAATGTTTTCTTTACCCCCGTGATGGAAAACCTTGTGCAGATGAGTCAGTGGATGACAGATCAGTAAATGGAACAACTGGGATTGGGTATTCTGGTATAAAAGCGCCATTAGGCAAGACGTCTGAACAACTTAACAGAGCTTAACAGTTGCCGCTGTCCAACTGACCTGGCGCTAGTTGCTACTAATTAAAGCTTATGTAATAGTTTTTCTTGGCTCCCTCTAACTCACACTACACCACAGACACTCTTAAGTAAATGAACAGGATAAAAGCCTTCACAGAGTGAAGAGCGAGGATATAAAAACAACCCTGAACACCACAACAGACAAACTGCGAGAGAAACTTTTACTGCCTTCAGATGCCTTTTGATCGGCGCACCAAACCCTCGGCAGCTCCACTGGAACGGCTAAATGTTGGATAATGAAGACTGTCGCTGTATGTTTTCATTTCTTTTTTCAGTTCCTTATCTAAAGCGTAAAACACCGTGCTTTTGTGAATACAATACAATCTCACTTCCTGAAAAAATAGCCAGAGGCCAAATATGTCTGGAGCCCTGAACCTCTGTTACGACCACAAAGACAGAAACACTGTTTCACAAAAAGCAATACAGAAGAAAAGCAAAAGTTTATTAGAAATTTAACGATATTGTTGAGATGTACGACAGTTTCTCGCCTTAATACAAAACTAGAGTCTTCAAGGAGGTTATAGTGGGAAAGATCTGTGTGAAAACTGTGAGAATACACTGTCAGCTGCTTGTTTTATTGTTAAAGGAAGAAAAAAAATCATGCACTCGTTCATTTTTTTAACAAATTTGATACTTTTTTTTTTAAATATTGACTTAGTTGATTTAAATTTAGTTAATTCTGTTTTAATTCTTTATTCTAACATTAGCTTTTTCATTTCTAGACCCGTTACATCTTGTGCCAAAAAATGTAAGATTGGTTACGTAAAGTCAGCATCCTGAAGTTTCATTTCAGATTTCTAAGAAATTTCCCTTAAAGTAATGAACGTGTCCCCACTTCTCTGAACTGTACTGTCGTCTGTTCGTAGCTCATCAGTGAGGATGTGATTCTTAAAACGCAGCACTTTCAGAAAAAGAGGTCACGCTAACCAGAGCCACAAAAATTAGGATGAGTAACTTCTTATTTCCTTTTTTATTTCTTATTTCCCAGACACTTAAAGCCGTATTAACACAGCTGTGGTACGTATTATGTTCTAATATGACTTTTCACAGCGGCCCGTTACTATAAACATTAGCTGCGGACAGAAATAATGATTCAACCGACCTGGTACTCCGGCCTGCATCCACGGTGAGATGTCTGTTCCTTCACCGTGGGCCTCCAGTTTGGTCGTGTTAATGGGAGCCAGAAGTTTCACCACTTCTTCCATCACCTGTTAAAACAGACACAGTGTTTGTCATGGTGTCTGTGAATATCAAACGTGTGTCAGCGTTAATTATGTTACAGTTTAGTAAATCTGAGGTACACGATCAAATATTTAACCCGCTGAATTCAAAGCAGTTTCTTTGCTTCTGTCACATTTTTACTCACTGTGGGCTCTTTTTTTTTTTAACTTTAATATAAAGTCCTGCATCTCCATGGAAACAACACAACCATGACGAGAAGGAGAGAGAACTACAAAATGTCCTCTATGTGGTACAACACATTTAAAAAAATAAACAATATTACAAATAGGATGAATGGAAATGGAGCGGAAACAGCACAACCATGACTAGAAGTACAAAAAGATCAATATCTTCTGAGCACTATATAAAAAACTTTACCATAAATCATAAAAACTAAAGCAAATGTTGGATTTTTTTTGTATTTATTTCAAAAATTTTTTTTAATGTAGGTCTAAATGTTATATATATATTTTTTTTACTGCTCACATTTTTGATTTGTTTCCATGCTGGTCTCCTATCTGGTCTGAGGAAACCTTCACTTCAGACTGATTTTTCATCACATGACTGTTGATCACAGTTGAGTTGCTCAGTTCTTCACAAATGAGCGCAAATTTTTAACTTTTTTTTTGTTTTGTTTTTGTTTTTACAGAATATGGTTATTTTAAATGCTTTAATTTTGGCCAAACCTTAAATAAGACATGTAGAAAAAGTGATTTTGATGATGATTTGAAGCTTAGATCTGGTCTGACTGAACCACACAACGCACAGAATTAGTTCAAAAGTTTAAAATCCAGCAGTTATTTCTGTATTTACAGTTTCTGATAAATGATGTACTTTTGTTTAGTTTTTTTTAACTTAACCATAAATGTCAAACCCACTGCTAGGCTTTAGGGTGCATGAGGTAGACTGTAAGCTCATAGCAAACATTCTCTGACTATGTACAGATGTTGCAGGGCCACATTAACCTGAAAGAAACTAGTTCTGTGGTTAAATTGGGGTTTTCTCTATGTACTGTTGTGGTCCTGGTGGCAGAGACTACTTCCCCTCTGTGGTGTAAATGTGAAAGAGTGAGGATGAGTGAGAAGTTCAACATTGGACCGAGGTAAGCGTTTCTTATTTTTGGAAGCAACGGTCTGAACTTTAAAAAGAAAAACAGCCCATTTACAGGACAGGATACTGTTTCAAACTGCCCTGCTGTTTTTGGACGCTTGTATAAATACCTCTAATTCCACTTTAACTTGTGTTTATAGTTGCGTTTTTAATCCCACCTTTCTGGCTGCGTCACTGCCAGTAAACTGCAGACCGACTGGGGTGAATGTCCCCAAGTCAGACTCCATGACGAGGTCGAAGTTGGACATGTTCACCTGTGTGGGGAGAGAACAGATAGAAAAGGTGAAACATCAGGAAAGAGAAGTGACGACATGGATGCACTTTGAGTCCATGGAAATGTTTTTATTTTCATTTTACCCACTTTCAAAGAGAGCATGCCAGCTAGGAGTTGCTTATTCAATCCGCTAGCTGTCCATAAGATCCTGTCCATGAATATCACAAACAGGATAAGACACAAGGAGAGGCCTTACACCCGTCTGAAGCTTTAATTAGTACAGAAAATACAAAGGCAGCTCTCATTTTGATTGAACAAGGACTGGATGGGTCACAGCAACAGTCTGTAACTCCTGCAGAAGCTCCACAAAACACCCGTGGACTGGATGGTCAAACTCCCAATGACCCCCTCATAACTCAAAAAAGGGGAAAAACATGGTGCACTGTTCCACGGCCAGAACACAATCCTCAGTGCTCCTCCTGAATCTGAGGGTTGACAATCAGTCAGAGGTTTCTTTCTAACATTCCCAGCAGTGTGACACTCCAGCAGGAACTCAAGGCACAGCAGAGGGGTGGAGGCTCTGCCTTTTTGCAAATAATGTGGTTCTGTTGGCTTCATCAGATCATGACGTTCAGCGTGGACCGGGGAGAGTCTTGTGCCCAACAGATCGGTGCAGTGTTTGCAGTAATGCAGCCATTGTACCAGACTATTGTGGTAAAGAGGAAGCTGAGCCAAGAGTCTACGTTGTTTATTTATTAGTCATCTACCTCCCAAACTTCACCGACGGTCATGAGCTCTGGGTCGGGACCAGCAGAATCAGAATGCAGATACAAGTGTACAGTAGAGTCACTGCTCCTTTGTATGAAAAGGAGTCAGTAGAGGTGATTCATGCATCTCGTTAGGCTGCTTCCTGAGTGCTTTACTTTGGCCAACAGGGAGGAGACCCCTGTCAAGACCCAGAGCTCACTGTTTACATATCTCGTCTGACCTGGAAACACCTCAAGAGGACTCGGAAAACATTGCTGGGGAGAGAGATATGTGGAATACCGAGCTTATCCTGCTGCCACTGCCATCCATCATGAATGAGCAGAGAAAAATGGATGACTAGAAGGCCTACTGAAAGGTTTGGGAGAGAGCCGTACTGCAGTTTCGATGGTCACCGGGTAATAAAAACTGCATGTATGGAATCATCAGTCAAATCTGACACTAACTGCTTAAATTCAGTGTTTGTGCACAGGTCTGGCTCTGTAAGTTAGAAACAAAATGGCTCCACAGCATGCCCTGTGCGTCGTCATGCAGGGGGAAGAGGGCAGTGAAGTGATGAGAAACCTGTCACTATCTAAATAATTCTTATAATATAATAGATAATATAGAGAATTTGATATATAAATATAATAGAGAATTACAAATATCTTGGAGTTCAGCAGGACAACAGACTAGACTGGAAATGCAACACTGACTACATCTACAAGAAAGGTCAGAGCAGACTCTGCTTCTTAAGGAAGCTGAGATCATTCAGTGTCTGCACCAAGATGTTGCAGATCTTCTATAAGTCTGTTGTGGAAATCAGCTTTGCAGCCATCTGCTGGGGCAGCAGCATCAGAACCAGAGACTTAAAGAAGCTAAACAAGCTGATCAGGAAAGCTGGTTCTGTGCTGGGGATAACTCTGGAACCACTGGAGCTGATTGTTCAAAAAAGAATGCTGCACAAGATGATGAAGATGATGGAGGATTCTTCTCACCCTCTCCACAACACAGTGAAGAACCAACAGAGTGTGTTTAGTGGGAGGCTGCACTGTAGAACGGAGAGATACAGGAGTTCCTTCCTGCCAACAGCCATCACCTTAAAAAACAAATCTGACTGACTGAATGATTGTTGTTGTTGTTGTATAGAATATATGTTATATTGATTTTTTTAAAAAGTGAGCTTTTACAATATTGAATTTCCCTTCTGGGATAAATAAAGCATTTTCATTTCATTCATTCATTTCATTTCATAAACTGGCAATATATCAACAACCCCTCTCCAGAATTGCAGCCTCCACCTTTAACTAATTAAAACAAAAACTAAGCAATTTAAATTCTAAATATATTCACCAAATGTAACACTGGCGAGCGATGGTACGCTAGTCCTGTACCTCTGGTTTTCAGAATTGTAGTCGATTATAGCTCAAGGCCTGGTCGGCAGCCAAAGCTCTAAAGTAGGAAACTAAGAGACTGTAGATTGTTGTTTAGATCCTTTGCACAGAGAAAAAACCTGGGAGCAAGCCAAGGCCTCTCCAATTTGCTGAAAGCACATTTCTGCACTCCTACACTCTCCTTTACTTTCACAATGGTCCGACCCTTCCTGCTTCTTATTAGCAGGAACAATATTTGCTTTATGGCTGTTTCTGAGTGTTTTCCATTAAGTGCCACAGTAACAGTAGACAGAACCTTGTGCTGATCGTAGTACTGCTGAGCTCCAACTCCGCCCTGCTCTTCAGCCGTCCACAGCACGGCGCGCAAAGTCCTTCTTGGACGTAAACCTAGAAACAGACACAAATGAACAGCAATGCAAATACAAATGAATGAATAAACAGAACAATGGCATTGCTGCTTTCTTTTCTTTAAAACTTCTAACACACACTAAACTCAGCTGTATCTCTGATAATAAGGCTCTTCAATGGACCTCTTGGTTGGATGAGGACTGTCCCTGTCATAGGCCTTTTTATATAAAGTTTTATAGTCAACAAGAATAATCTATTTTATATCTGTTCTTGTACTTAATTTGTCCCCAAGTTTGGAACTGAACACTCTGCTCCTGCTTATATTTGCGTTGATCTTGCGATAATCCAGCTGTTTTGCTAAGTAAATGATTTCCTGCTCTCACTCTTCAGGCTACACATGAGCAACAACTCAACAAAAAGCAGCACTAAGTGTATTTTTAAGGTGTTGTTACACCATCAGTCCCGACAACAGCTTCAGTGGTCTTCATTAAAAGGCTCTCAGGCTCTGACGACGCTTCATTAAAAAAAGCACATGGTGAGCTCATAAAATAGAACAAATGGTTAAAGACTGTGGTTTGTGAGTAAAAAAAATAAATAACAACAACAATACATCTAGTTGGAAATATAAATTTGGCTCAACCAAAGATAGATTCACACCAGCAGATGGCTGCATATATAAAACTAGCTTCATACTGAGCAGCTCTGACTGTAAAACACCACTCATACGTTGATGAAATACATAAATAACAAGTGATTGTCATTTATTATCATATTCATCGAGCCTCCTGACCTCTATGGAAACATCTGCAAACAGTGTGTTTCTGCTCATATTCAGTGTTTTCCTTTCTGTGCTTTGGTTTTCCTTTTTTATTTAATAGAATAACAGATTAGTTTAACTAGATCCATCTTGTTCAACCATGTTACTGAATAACACTGGAAATAAAATTAAGAAATTTAAAAAAATAAAAGTGTTGTGTCATCCTTGTGTATACGTCAGCTAAACAACTGGAACTGCTCTATTGAACTAGTGTGAAACGTTTTGAGTACTTTATTTGTTAGGATCATATATTGACCTTTACTACTAATTCTTTTTTTAATGCAATGTGATGCTTATTTGTTTTTTAGTTGAGCAACTTTCTCTGTTTGTACTTTTCCCAGTAAACTTTAGCACTTTAGGACAAAATGGCTACAAAAAGCTAAATAACAAAATAAATCATTTACAAGACTTTGTTTATAAGCCTGTGTAATCTTGCATTTCTACATTGTGTACACATTAAAGTTCATCCGTTCATCCTCTGCTCTCTATTCATCCGTCTCTGCATTACCCAGGTCTTTGATGAGTGACAGGGCCTCCCAGGAAATCATGGCTCCACCTCCGTCATCCATGGCGCCCTGGCCCACATCCCAACTGTCCAGATGACCGCTCAGTAAGACGACCTGGAAGATTTTACAGATATGCAAACTGTAAACAGAGAAAAGAGGGACCGAGGGAGCGCGATGGGACTGTTTTTCTAGATGCATATCCAGGGCAACTTCACCATTTGTCTGATCAGACAACTGCAAAAGAAGCAGAACATATGGCGCCGTCTGACCCGTATGCTGTCCACACTTTAACTAAAACTTTCACAGCACTCTTTAAATTTGATTAGTATTTATAATTAAAAACCTTTTAATAAGCAAGAACAGACAGACTCATAAAAAAACATGATAACAAACACAAAAGCAGTGCAGCGTTATCTCCACTTCCAGGAATTTAAACGGGGAGGGATTCCTGTCAGCGGGGCGCTCTTGACCTGATGTTCCAGGTTACAAAACATTTTCTGACCTGAACCAGGCCTGTCTGGACAACGACCCACGAGCCACACATTCCCACAAAATGAAAGTGAGCGGGTCTCGCGTTATATAACAGAAACACTCGTACATTTTTTCAGCCAAGCTTGTGGCACAGCTCTTGGTCAGCACGTGGGTCCATCACTTCATACCAAACTGAAATGTCTCAACAACTATTGCAAGGATTGCAGTGACAGTCCGTACAGATACTGATGCTCAACATCAGCATAAATTGCAGTAACATTTTCGACACCATGAGTTCTTCATCATCAGGTCGAAAGTTCAGTTTGTTCATGACCAAACAGCTGTTAACGAACACTCCCCTGTATTTTGTTTTTATTAATTGGCATGTTAGCATACAAATACGCTAAACTAGGGAGAAAACTATTGTATGTGCTTGAAACAGAAAGTCCTAACAGTAACTGGTATGCAGCAGAAGTGAGGACACCTAAATGTCAAATGATTCAAACTTCTATCACCTCTCAATAACTACATTATTTTAACAAGTAGAGAATTTCCTCTCATGAACAATCCTAAACAGATACTTTACAAAGACTTTAATGAAAATACAGGCCCCAAAGTAGAAAGTCAATGCAACAACAGCATGATCACTGACACACAAGTCAGAAAACTGTGATCACCGAAACCAAAATTAAGCACGCTTGTCATTTTCAATCACCCGAGCTGCACTAACATGGTCTAAAATGACCTGCGAAGAACCTTCTTAACTTTTGACTGTGTCTGTCTCCACGTCTGCATCATGGCTTCACGTGAAATAGAACGAATCGTAACTGAGAAATCTGATTGTGAGAGTTGGAAAAAGGACACAGAAGGATCAGCGAGGAACTACGGCGGCAGCAGCAGCAGTAATCAGGAGGCATGGAACGAACCACTAATCAGAGCCGCAGTGTTCGTCCTCCTAACATGACACCACAGACTGCTTTGCACAATCGAGCTCTGGAAAACAGACGGGCAATCCTTCAGACTTGGCACAGCTGCTATCAATGAAATCAGAGCTTCTGTGACAGCTCAGACAGTGTGAAGGACATTGCACAACATCTCTGTGGGTCGAGTCCAAGAGAAAAAAAAACTTTTCTCACTCTTTGGCACAAAACTGCAAGACTGAACTTTGCCAAAGAGCCTGAGAAGAAGACTGATGGAAATTGGGAGCACATTCTTTAGTGAGATCAGACAAAGAAAAATTAGTTTCTAAGTAAGGAAATAAAGTGAAAACTTTAGAGCACCTTTGGGGGTATTTTTTTAAAGAGGAAGTCAGAGCAACACAAACCCTCCAGCAACAAGCAGTTAAAAACAAAAAAAACTGTCTCTGAAGAATGACAAAACTGGTATCCTCCATGCCGAGAAGGGTTGAGGCAGTCCTTAAATAAAAAAGATGGACATAGTAGGAAATGAAAAATAAAAGATCTGAAAGTCAGTAAAGAAAGTTGTGCTGTCTTTTGTTGCATGGAGTTCCCACTGAGGGGCCTGTAGGTTTAACACAGTAAATGCAAATATCTTACTGTTCAATTTATCCATCCATCCATTATCTATACACCGCTTAATCCTCACTAGGGTCATGGGGGGCTGGAGTCTATCCCAGCCGACTTAGGGCGAAGGCAGGGGACACCCTGGACAGGTCACCAGTCTATCACAGGGCTACACTTAGAGACAGACAACCAAGCACACTCACATTCACACCTACGGACAATTTACAATCACCAATTAACCTCAACATGTTTTTGGACTGTGGGAGGAAGCTGGAGAACCCGGAGAGAACCCACGCTGCACGGGGAGAACATGGAGACTCCACGCAGGAAGATCCCGGTGCTGCCACCGGCAACCTTCTTGCTGCAAGGCAACAGTACTCTGTTCAATTTATACAGAATGCAATTAATATAAGGTTGCAAAAATTTAATTATTTCACATTTAAGCAACTGCATGCATTCACTTCTTTGGTACACGGTACCTTTGCAAACGACAGTATGTGTATAATGTCCAAATACACAACCAGTGATCTAAGAGACGAGCACACAGAGACAAACACTCACAGGCAAGTTGCTATCTGCAAGCTCTGGTATTCACTGGGGTGGTTTCACAGTATCAGAACGATCTGCATCCACTTCCATGGAAGGGTTTATCCCAAATTATAGCGTACATCAGGGATTTCACAGTCCACACCTTTTCCTATTTGAAATTCCCCATAAACACACTGACCTTGTATTAATTCAGGTCATCAGCCTGTTGAATCATTTTTCAAACCTCAAACACGGATCATTTTTCTGTCGTATTGTGAATTTACCCTCAGAGAGATAGTTTAGTTTTAACATTGGTCTGTTTGTAGCTAGACTGTACAACGCAGACAAACTTTTATAATAAGCACTCATCACCACCACCGTCCAGCATCATGATTTGAGTTTCAACGCGATCATGAACACAAAATCTACACCTCGCTCCGAAGCATCACAAATTAATTAATCGTTCTGAAAGTTGGTCGACAGTGTGGGAGTCTCAAAAAACTTTGAATGTGAATTTCAAAGAGAGATGGGAGGTGTGGAGTGGGTGGAAAAAAATCCAAGCGACTCAGCACTAGATGATTCTGACTCGGTCCGACAGGCTAAACTGTGGAAATGACTCACTTAGACCTCAAGCGTACATCTTTCTATGAACGCACACACACACACACACACACACACACACACACACACACACACATGCACCGACCACAACCACCGCTGCTGCCAGCTGGAGCGCAAAGTCCACCGGGCCAGAGATGATGTCAGCCATGCCATGTGTTTCATTTCCCTTTTCTGTGATGAGGGACCAAGCGGTGGTTCCCAGACCAGAATAGAAACTGCTTACATCAGTAACATCACTCGGATTCAAGTCTGCTGGTGGGTTTTTGAGTTAGTTAATAAAACCAGAGAGGGCTTGGAGAGAAGAGCAGAATTCTCTTGAACTATATTGGATGTGACGGTGTTCAAACATCAATCTGTTAGCAATCAAAGTCAGGAATCTTGTGTTGGGGGGAATCGCTGAGTGTCGCATTGGGGCGTGATGTTTTGCAGCTGCTTAATGAAGTGGGCTCGGATTTGCGAGGGAGTAAAGGTTGACACAGATACAGATCACAGTCACACTTGTGGGAAATTCCAAGCAAACATTCATGTGAACAAATATTAGTCGGCCTTCGTCTAACATGTAATAAACACAACTTCCCTAACGACAACAAAAACATCCACAACAAAGCTATAGATAGCACACGCCATGATTCACACTTTTCACGCAGCGTGTGACGAATGGAAGTTTGATTCAATCTAAAAAGACGCTCCTCCCCCCATTTCCCCTGCTGCGCTGCACTTTTCTATCACATAGATTTTATCGCTCACCTTTGCAAATCAGGGCAACTAAAATTTACATACTTTCCTGAGCTATTCAGAACGTACTGTGTCATGCTGCCCGTGTGAATGGGAGATGTCGGTACACCGAGTTAAATCTGCCCCATTAGTCTTAATGTCTACCCACATCTGTGCACCCACATGAAGCATCGTGTGTCTCAGAGCTGAGCGCGGCACTTCTGCTGCTCCTTCCCACCGAATCACAGAACCGTGGAGGGATTTACTTCACAGGCATCACACTGTGTCTTATACAAACAAAGTGTCCCTGCATGCAAGTGGAGATTCTTTCAGCAGCACTTTATCCGTTCATCCAGTTCTTCCTGCTAGACGTGTTGAGGACTTGAGCGTGACGCTGCACAGCTGCAACCAGGGTCAGGTATTGCTTTTATGCACTGATTTAATTTTATTTTAAAGCACTTTGTCATGTTACTCTATGCTTGAGAGTCTAACAATGATAAAAAAATGTTAAAAAGTGGTTATTCTAAATTGTATGAGGTGTACCTGTGCTCGCCTTGTGACAGACAAATGGCCTGCCTCGGCTCCACCACACCAGGGATCAGGTTATTTTATTCTAGGTGCAGGTCATTTCCCCCACTGACCCAAATATTTCAAGCTGAATGATGGCAGCATTACAATGAAAAACAATCCTGAGAGCTGAGTTAAGAAAAAAATGTCAGTCATTTGTGAGAATCGGAGGCCAAAGAAAGTTAAAACTTTGAAATTCTTGGGAATTTCTTTTCCCACAACACTTAATTTCACAGCTGAACAGGATTGTTGACACACAACGTTGATTTTCCAAAGAAATCTACTTTGTGCTGGTTTTCTGGAAAGATTAGATCACTACGGCACACAATAGCATAATAAAGGCAGACTAAACAGCTGTGGGATTATCTGGAGTCAGTGAACTGCACGATTTTTTCCTTGTCCACCAGAATGACTAATTATGAGCGAGGCAGGAAAAGCAGCACATCTGTTTTCAATACAATTTACTGAAAATATCCACCAAAACACATTTGCCCTGAACTGCACTGAACACTGATTTCTTTATCGCTGTCCTGCAGACTAACTGGTAAATGCGACGAGCGCTACCTGCTCCGGGTGCTGCCAGCCTCTTATCTCTGCCACTGTGTTGAAAGAGTCAGCGTCCGGCAGAGTCTCGGCTCCCATTGTGAGTCTGACCACGACCTTCTGGCCCCTCTGTGCCATTCGCCACATCAGCTCAGCGTCCTCCACAGTGATGCAGGCTGTTGGGATTCGCCTCACTCCGGCCTGATAGTCCTGCCAGCCTGTGTGGGGACTAGACAGGAAGAGGTAAAGACAGAGATGTGTTACCCATAACTAGAGCTAAACACCTAGATAGATACAGAGACACATGCAGACCTGTTAATCGAGAACGGAGTAATGGATCTAATGAGCGTTGCCACAGCTCCCACTTTGGCCGCCTCAGAGGCGCCAAAAGCCCGATAAGCCACCGTCTCTCCGTAGCTGACAAAAGGCTGGTTAAAAACCACGATCCTTCCCGGGGCCTCGCCGGCTCTACGCTTCAGTTCTTCAAATGACTGAACCACCAACACCTCGGCCTCGATACCTGATGAGGTAAGAATGACACAGTGAGGCAGATGGCAGGTGTTTGGATGGATTTATAAAGTATGATCTTTACCTCCAGGAGGTGTTCCAACACTGCTACCTAACCCCAGTATAGCCAGACTCTTGGCCCGGGGCACAATCATCTCTGCACTCTCCTTCCCTCTCACCCAGTGTGGGATTTTGGCCGGCTCTGGAGCACAAACCACACAACTACTGTTACACTCGCCACAGATCAAGACCCTGGTGAAGGAGCTCCTGTAATTTGTGCGTCTGCGATGCATCCTCACTGCAAACTTCAAACGTCGAGCGAGACTCACCCAAATGCACATCCAGCCCGTCCTGTGTCATGGCCCTGAACATGTATTTAATAGCCAAGTCCAGGTTCTGCGAGCCGCTGACACGGTTCCCGATGGTGTCAGTGAAGTCGGCCAGACGTCTGTAGGAGCGGTTCTGGGCGGCGCCGAACACGGCCAGGTCGATGATCTGCTTGGCCACATCGGCGTAGCCGGCGACCTCTGCTGCGGCATCTGGAGCTGGGAAAGCACAAAAAAGAAAAGTCAGGTGTCATCCCCGAGTCTTTCTGAAGAGTTGAAAAACGAAAATCAGCTTTACTGCTTTTCTTTTTTGCTCCACTTCCAATATTTTCTCCCTCTTTGACCTTAATCTGGCTCTCTGGCCATCGGTACTGCTGGGTGGCAGTCTCTGAGTGGGATCAAAGACTGCTTCACACAGCTGTCCCACATGCTTAAATAAGTGCAGAACAAAATAATAAGAAGCAAACCTTAAGGAGACGAGAACAGCACATGCTTGTACAAAGACTTGTCTGAAAATCTTATACAGAACAGGCCAAAAAAGCAAGATAAAAATGCAGTTACTACCTTAATAAACCCAACGGTTACAATAAGGTCCTTGCACTGGTGTGCTCAGACCCTAAATATTAGAGGTCAGTGATAACTGAACTGTGCACAGTCTATGTTTTGCATCAATCTGCAATAAATGAACTGGTACGTGGATGTTTTCTGACACAATTTACAGATTAGAAATTTAGCAGTTATGTCTAAAAATGGCTGCCGGTGCCACTGTTGATCTACCACATTAAAGCCTTTTCACACCTGCTGTCTACCCACACAGATGGTTTCACTTATTCTAAGAATCTGCAGACTGTGTTGCCTGTTGAAGCCGGTTCATGCTTTTATTATTGTTGTTAATTCAAGAATTTAGTGACAGTATTCCCGAGTCAAATTGTCCAGAGTAACTGAAAACACCTGTGAGGGTGTGGAAGGCCTTGTAGAAAAAAAAACCCCAAAAAACTAATGAATGAAATGAAAAATACTTTATTCATCCCAGAAGGGAAATTCAATCCTGTAAAAGCTCACCTTTCTTTTTTTTTTTTTTTAAATCAATATAACATATATTATATACAAGAATAATAATGGCACGAATGATTTCTATACATCCCCTTATGCTGCACATTTCCGACAGTAGAAGAGTTTGCGTTACCTTTCCTTGCAGTATCATTGGATGCCTCCGTGGTGACACATGTTGCGTTCACGCATCGAGCAGGGCGAGGATGACAGTCGCACACATCTGACAGCGTGAGAAACACGAGGAAGGAGAGGAGGAAGGTGAGTCTCGCCTCCCGAGCCATCTGTGGACAGAGAATATCAGCGTGCTCACAGAAAATCTCTTGGAAAAAGGGAAATTCCCAGTGACTAAAAGCACATAATTACTCCCAAAATGCTGCACGAACAATGGATTCTGCAGAAACGCCGAGTAAATATTTAACCTCTTTAGAGCTTTGGGGCTAGTCGACTATACTTTAAGCAATTAAAGAAAAAAAAAATCCAGTGTGACTCATTCTAGACATTAGAGCAACACAACCTCGGTGCTGAAGGTCCAACAATGTGACCTTTGTTTAGATGAGACAGTGGAGGTTGGCACACTTTTTATTCTACTCCATATTTCTCTGGGAATAATTTATGGTAAACTACTAGCAACAATTAAAGCTTAAAATATCAAATCAAAGTATTTCTTTGTACACAAAGCTCTTAGGTGATCGCTTTGGGTTGTGCTTGTTATGAGTTTGATTGGTTAAAATACAAATGTTCACGTCAAAAACATTTTTGAATACATAAATGTAATTAGATATGTTTTTAAAATGCAAAGAGCCTGTTTAGAAGAAGCACATTTTCATAATTCAAAATTAAATAAAAATAATAACTTTGTGTTAGCATACACGTTACTCATATGAACATACATGATACAAACACACAGTATGTTCAGTGTGTGTATGTGATGGATGAACTGGGATCTAAGCTGCAAATATGAAAACTGTTTGGCTTCATTAATAGTTAGAATTAAAGATGATGAAAGGGGTTCTCCAGCTTCCTCCCACAGTCCAGAAACATGTTGAGGTTAATTGGTGATTGTAAATTGTCCGTAGGTGTGAATGTGAGTGTGCTTGGTTGTCTGTCTCTAAGTGTAGCCCTGTGATAGACTGGTTACCTGTCCAGGTGAACCTGCCTTCACCTTGAGTCAGCTGGGATAGACTCCAGCCCCCCATGAGGATTAAGGGGTGTATAGATGATGGATGGATGGAAAGGGGATTAAATTATCATGTATTTTTTTGCCTGACAGTGTGCAAATATTAAGGAAACAGCAACATTTGAAAACATAAATATATATATAGAGTGAAACTCTTGGACATATTTTATCTCAGGATTACAAGAGTGTGATGACCAGGAAGCAAAAGACAATAATAATGACAAGCAGTGACTACAATATTTTAAAAAGATGACACAAACACAAAGACACACAAATACAGACACAGACACGTGTATCGTACACGTCTAACCACATTTTTTACAAAATAGTTTTTTCCATCTCAGATCATCAGTGGCCTTCTGCTCATCTATCTCTGATTTACTTCATTTTTTTCTTACAATAAACTCTGGACATGTAACACTGTAGATTTGAAATGTTATATTAACACGCTTTATAAGATGTTTTTGTTCTTTTTAATGCCTGTCAAACCACAAAATTGAAACTCGCCACAATACAAACAAAACGCATATAATATATAACATATAGAATATTATTTTAATTTAAAAGTCCTTGCTTACCACAATTACATATGTTCATGTACTTATTTTTATTATTTTTTTCATTTATCGTTATTAACTGGTTGAGCAGGTACAGCAAGTCGTACCACAAAATCAAACGTATTGCTCGATAGCTGAGTAGAGTTCTGCAGTTTCAAAGTGGTTCTTCCACTTTCTAGGCTGGAGATACAGAGAGAACCTTTCCTATTATACTTAATTCATTTACTTATTGGAAGAGACGGTTGAGGGTAAACTCTTAAGCAGTTACTATAAATGTAGATGGACTCACACGTCAACATAATGCACAGATTGCAGTGACATTGGTCTTGAAGGCCGAATTTATTCCCAATGGAACACAAAGCGAGACAATCTATTTAGATTGATCATTTTTTGATTAGTTAGTTTTCGCAGCGATCATGAGATTAAACTTATACGATACTTTTCATGATGCTGGGTCACAAAACTGAGAGAAAAGTTATTTCATTGAACTTTCACAAGTGATTAAGCAGGTATGACAAAAACAAAAAGTATTACTAGACATCCTAATCCAAGCACAACAGAATTCTGGAGTTTCAAAATTTTTCTCCAAATATAACCTAAGAAAATTTCTAGATCTTTATTTTTCAACATGCTAAAAATGAGCTGACGGAAAATTTTAAAAGAAAAAAAAATTTGAAAAATATTTGCCATATCGAGGTAAAAGTTCACGAATATCTTTATAATATTTTATGTCGCGAAAATTTCAGACAAATCAGAGACGGACGAGCAGAAACTGATCCAAAAATGTGATGATTTGAGGTAATAAGATATTAAACATGTGCTGAATAAGTTGACCCAGCTTTTATGATGAAATGGTTTCATCCTGCTTCCATCGCTCACCACAGACTTTCACATCTTATATCAAAATATAACTAATTCCTTGTCTAGTCACAATAAGTACCAAACTACAAGCATCTCTCTCCAACACACTTTGATTTTTACTTTTAGTCCAAAATCTACTTTTTTTTCTCTCACTTTTGATCCTGTAAAACTGAAACCAAAAAAGTGACATTTAAGGAAAGTAATGAGTGCAGGAAGCAAACGTTTTGATGTTATTTTTGGTTTCTTTGAGCAGAAAGCAGCAGTGATCCAAGCTGCTGCTGTTTTAAAGCGTTCAGCTCAATGTGATGCTGCAGGCAGAAGAGAAACGTTAAACTGGCTGGAGTTAGTTTTACTTTCAGTTACTGAAAATGACTGCTGGTGGAGTCTGTATACTCAGATACACCAGAAACATTAATTAATTCTCAGGGCTCCATCTTCCAGAAACGTAACATTAGATACATAAAAAATAGATTTTAATACAAACGAACTGATGGTTGAGAAAAACGTTAAAGGTTCTGAGAGAAACAACCCAAAACCCAAAAACCTGCTTCTCCTCAAAATAACACGAAGTACAAACCATTCGAGTGGAGCCAGTGCCTTTGCTATCTCTGTCGTTTGAAGACTTTAAACTGCTGGAAGAAAACCCAAACACACGACACAAACAGCTGGCTGTAAGAACTGTTTCCGCACTCGTGATTCCAGCGTGCAGCGCGGCGCCTTTTCAAAATAAAAGTCTCTACAAATCCATCACAGGAGGGAGGGAGAAGAAAAACTATACAGCAAAAATCCATTCGGCAGCTGAAATAAAACTACAAATGCTGGACAATTAATTTTTTCCCAACACTTGCAGGCTTCATCAACAACCCAGCAAATAGTAACCCTTAGAGAACATTCAGGTAATGTTGGCAAATAGTAACCTTCAGAGAACTTTCCTTGACAGCGATGTTTGCTGGTTCCCTGAACAAACAAATAGTACTCTTAAGGGAATGTTGTGGGGATATGCAGGGAACATTCTCTCAAACTTGGCAAACACAAACCTTCAGGGAACGTCTGCTGAGGTTTGCTGATGGCTGGTTCCCTGAACAAACAAACAGTACGCTTCAGGGTACCTTAAAGGAACATTCAGAGAAACTCAGACAACGTTTGTGAAAGGCTAATGATTGCTGGTTCCCCCAACAAACACATGGGAACCTTCAGGGAACCTTTATGTTTTTTTTAGGTATTTTCTGTCAGCCCTGGGACTTCAGGCTGAGCTTCACCTCCTCACCAGCACTTGTGTCTTTACTTATGAACTATATAAAGGACCGGCCACCCAGACTGCAGAGTAGTAATAACCTGTAAGATAGAGCAATCTCACTCCCGCTGGTTGCTAAAACTGGCAACTCTGGTCTAACTCGGTGGTTTGCAAACATTTTTGTCACAAGGCACGGCTTTACATATGATTACAGCTGTGTAAGTCATAAATTTGGCTAATTCCAAGGCACATTTTTACAGTTAGTGGGGTATAGTTAGTACTCTGTGTGAATGTTGAGACGACTCCCTTCACTTTTCAGTAATGTTCAGTTCTTATGCTTTAGGGTGAACAATGTGAAGACCAGTTTCAAGTGCAGCGACAGAGTCAGACAGCACTTTTAAAAAGAAACAACACAGCTGAATGTGTGAATGTGTTGTTCTCACGTACACTGTTAAACTGGGGAAGTTAACTCACTGCCTGTGCTGTCTGGCTTCAGTCACAAATTACACAGAAACCAAATATTGAAGCGCTTGATTGGGCACTTTGATATAATAGCTCTATAATGATATAACGCTTGGAATGTGTTGTAGAAAAACACAGCACTTCTGTGCCCATATCCCAATCTGTGGTTTTCATCCCCCATCTTTCCTTCTGCATTCCTCTGCACTCACTGGCATTCACTCCAAGAGTCCCACCCATGTCAGATTAATATTTATTTTCTTATACTTTACTACTACTTACATAACAAATACAGGAGTTAAACTGCCGTTTACTTTCAACTCCTCTCCAGAGGAATTTTCCGTGTATCTCCTGTCTATCTTCTACCAACCTGTTTTTCACTTTCTCCTCTATCATTTGTGTTTTTTTTCTTTTCTCTGCATTGTCAGGTCTTGGAAAACATCTGACCATTTGGCTCGGTTCAGATGCTGCTGACTTGAGTTCACAGTGTGGTTTGAAAACTTTTTTTTTTTCTCTCTTGGACCCACATTAGTAAAAGGATGTTTCTTGAGGTTGGGAGGAAATGTTTTTCTGCACTGCTGTGCAAACAAACGGAACAAAAGCTACGACCGAGTGCTTTTACCTGCAGCTGAACTTTCAGTGTGAGGACATTTAACACGTCGCCGCACACAGACACACCACAACCTTCTGTAGACTGATTGAAAAAAAAAAAAAAAAGGTTTTGGTTTTTGCCTTTTTCACATTACAGACCGCAGAGCACATGACAACACAGAGGTTTAAAATGATGCATAGAAACGTAGAAGTTTCAGTTGGATGAACTGTGATCACAGATTTTCTTTATGTGTCAAAGACAGACAGAAAGCAGAGATGAAGAGCAGAAAGGAGGTTGATCAAATGGAGACAAAATGCTGTGTGAACAACAGCTCACGTGCTGTTGCCAGGAATGTATGCACTTTGGTTATTAGCAATCCCCACAGCAAACAGAATAACGAAGCAGCCAGCATTGCATTTAAGCCACATCTTTTATTCAGCAGTGAATCTCATAAGATACACCATCTCAGCAACACAGTTCTCTATTGGCTGCCTCTTTGTGCATACGTCTTATTGGTAAGTTGATGCCTGGTTGATCCTCTCTGTTGTGCCGTTGTTTACTTGTTAAAATCAAGTCCTCAGTCAATTCATATTCAACTTTCATGAAAACAAAGCTGCAATGCATCTATAAGGAACTTATGCTAGTGTAATCACTTATTAAATGCATTCATATGAAAAAGCATCTAAACAACTAGCTAACAGACAATGAAATTGAAAATGAATTGAACTAAAGCTTGTCAAATACACTAAATCATAAATATAAAAAAAGAGCACAAAGAGGCTTTAACCATGAGTAAATACTGTACAATCCAAATTATCACCGATATATTAACCTAGGCTATAGTGTAGTAAGTATAAATAAAACATATAAATTATAGTATCATCAACATACTGTATAAACTTAAAGATCCTGAAAGAAAAAGGTTAATGTGTCTTTATGACCTGCTGGATTGCCAGCAAGTGCAAACCCGTTGTCTTAGCCCTCTATTGGTCTGGTTTATGTCAGATACAAGTGTTTCCTGGACCGCAGTGAAGCCCAGTCTGTACAGCTGCAAGGTCAAAGCATGACACGAATACTGCAACAGCACTGCAGATGAATGTATATACAAGGTTCTGTGAGGCACTGAGGTTTGCAAGTGCTCGACGAATATCAACAGTAAGTCACAGCGAGTTAGTGGCCACATCTTCCTGTTTATTCCAGCCACAGTGAATAGGTAGTTCTCATCTGCATTCAGATAATCTAGATTGGAAATAGTCATTGAGGCAAACACCATGAAGTAGCCTCGAGTTCTGTTCCACTGCCTCGTGAAGGGAGTCAAACTGCTTACAGAGACAAAAGCGGCTACATGTTTGGCAACACAAAGGGAAAATAACTGTTGACTTAAATCTAACAAAAACGTATTATAGTCTGGTGAAGAAATGCATATATACCGATTTAACATTTTTTAAATTTTTATTATTTACATTAAACTCAAAGTCAGAAAAAAAAATATCTGAAAGCAAAGCATTTTTTTTTTTTTGGATAGTGAGCAGGTTTACTCATAGATTACCTCTGAGCTCACTTCTAACGTTGGTTTAAAAAAAAAATGTTAATCTGACATTTTCAAAAACAGTAATGCTGCTTCAATAGGAAGCAGGTTTGAAAATCGCTCTTCTTTGACACGTAAAAGGCAGTAGGTAGCTGGTAAAAAATCCATATATAAGGCAAATTCCCAGTATTTTCACAAAAATATATGTTTTAATGGGATATATGCTTTTCAAAAGGGAACACCACCCTGTTGTTGTTGTTTACTGCCTCCTGTTAACTCATTGTATGTTCCTTTGGCTGGCTGCATGAAGTTTGTCAAGTTTACATGCAGAGGAGCTAATTAAAAAGAAATTTCCCATTACAGTTGAGAATTAAAACGACATCTGTAACTGATTGCCTTTTTAACTCTCTGACCCTGCTGTGTGCATAAGCTCTGGTTTTGCAAGAAACACCAAATTCTGTCAGTGTCCCTTTAACTTCAAACCCACCATTATAGCTCTATACAGCTGACAGGCAGAAAGGAATGTGCTTTGGCTGTCGTCAGAAGACATTGGTCACTTCTACGGTTTCTGAATTATAGTCATTAGCTTTGGCTCTACCTGTCCCGCATGCTTGCAGCACTCAGTAACCAAATAAAATAGTTCTGAAAATATTACAAATGTTCGAAAGATGCACGCCTGAGGGACTAGCACTAAGCCTACCGTTCTATGAAAACAAAGACAGAAATCTCTTTAAAAATGGCTTACAGAAATATAATCTCTAAACATAAAAACACCAAAAAAACAAGGCTACAAAAAAATAATTTTCCAGAAGACAAATAAAGCACATTTATATTTGGTCAGTTCTATAAGTGTCAAATATCTGCGAGAAAACAACACACATTTGTACCTGCAGAGTAACAAAATCTCTCAAACCAATACTGGACAGCATATGAAAAAAAACAATCAGCACAGAAAGCATACAAGAAAATGAAATGCAGCACAGACGGCTGTGGACAAGCAAAGCAAATCTGACCTCAAATAAAGGGAAAGGACTTTTTAATACTAATCCTATATGTAGTACCGTTTCATTTAATAGCATTCAAAATGCGTTAAAGCTTTCATATCCACGTTCCTGTCGTCTTCCTTGTGCAGCTGAGCTGAACTGAGCTGGTTCTCTGCAACACAGAACCAAATCCGGCCCAGTGGGTTCAGCTCAGAAAAGTAAAATTGGTTTAAAGGCACAGTGTCATCAATATTTCTAAGTTGACCACTTTCTAACACTAGAGCAGCTGTGATCCAAAGTAAAGATTCTTAAACTTTAGGATGTGTATTTGTGTACTTCCCTTGCATGGAATAGCAGGAATGTATTATAGACCTGTTTTGTTATCTTATGAGCCCTTCTTCACAAACGCTGAACATTATGCAGAGGCTAAAGATAGAAGGATGGCAGAGACTGACGGTAGGAATAACGAGCAGACGAAAATAAACTGTACGGAGCACCGGAGGAGAAGCAAGTGTTTGACTTCAAACTTCATTAAGAGGAATCATCTTCAGCTGTTTATGGTTGTCCATGTTCAGTCCTGGCTGCCAGGAGACAGATTCCTCTCTAGGTAGTCCCTTTTGGTTTAGTTCAGGCATAGAACTCCTTGGTAGGTGCTTTTTGATAGCCTGTTGAGGAAAGTTTGTTGTCTCCCAGGTCGTAGCTTCCTTCGTCCTTCTTCTTCATGCGGTAGGCCAGGAGGAGGAGGAGGAAGACGGCACAGAGGAATCCAACCACGCCGCACGCTATCACAGCTGGAGAGGACAGAAAAACAGAAAATACGTTACGCTGCAAGTGTTGCACAATACTTTGGCTTCTGTCTGTGCTCAATTATCGTGAAAATTCCCTCTGTGATCGCTGTTTGTAAGACACAGAGTTTATGAAGCCTGAATGATAAGTGCTTAAAATCAGCAGGGAAAAACAAGTGGAAACGTGTGCTTACCTGCCAGCACCTCCGTCCTCTCCCACAAGTTCTCGGAGGTCACTTCCTCGGGAGAGCCCACTCCGTTTCTCCTGCTGCCTCGACCACCGACGGCATAAATGTCGTTTTCGATCGCTCTGTCTACGCTCTCATATTCGATTGTGGAAACTTCCCACCTATCCAGGCTGTTGTCCTCCTCTGCGTCTTCGGTTGTAGTCATGTCCGTGCTGAACTCAGCCGCGGTGGTTTCGCTGGGAGGCGTGGCGGTGGGACCGGTGCCCTGCGTGAACCCGTCGGCTGTTGGGGCGATGCCTGGCACCTGGAAGAACGAATGCATTGACAGACTACATGATGCATTGGATAACAAATTAAGACAAAACAAATCTTTTATGCGGCCGTTTTGGGCTAACTTGCTTCCATAATATAACTGCTTTCATACTAGTTAAAAAATCCCAAACACACATTTAGGTGTTAACTTCACTGCACTGTGATTAAAGTCAGTGGATTTCAATTACAATACACATCTTTTAAGGCGGTTTTTCCTAATTGAGTTTTATGCCCATACTCTGAGCCAGAAGTCTTCACTCGAGTAGCAATTACATAAACCAAACTTTCCATTTTTATTCCAATCGGTATTCTGAAGGTTTTTACAGAGACGTTTGCTCATATTTCATTCACAGCCTGATTTATAAAACATTTAATTCCAAAAAACAGTGCAAAAATAGATTTTTTGGGGCTGTAGTTTCTGATTTATGGGGTGACAAAAAGCAATATCCAAAATCCTCCTGTGTAAAAACCTTCGTATGTCTCTATCCAGTGTTCAGGTGTCTAAATTAGCCCACATGAAGCGAGACAATGCCTGATTTACATAGATAAACATGTCTTCAAGGAAGTAATCAGCTGGAGTTTCAATTATATCAATTAGATTAAATCTTGTCGTTTCTGTCTTTAAATACTTTGTATGGTAGCTAGAAAGATTAACACCGTGAAGTGGAAAATATATTGTTAAAGCTCTTTTTGCCTGTGGTTTTGTTGTCATGTCATTTAGAAGACAGATGAACAGATGTACTAATGTCCATAACATCAGTGGAAGTGTATGAAAGTAAATGCATGTGAACATTTAAACAGTATATTATCGCCGATGGTTGCTTTCAGTGATTAAGATGTTCCAACTGTCAAAAAAGGGGGTTGGAAAAAAAAAAAGGGGAAAATAAACATTATACCTCCTTATCCCTGCTGTCGCCATCAGGGAGAATGAATGGTGTCGTCTCAGCGTCCTTCACGGTGGTTGTTGGATCCTGGTTGTCTGCTGCTGCGGTCGGTGGGTTGTAAGCAGAGTCTGTTGGCTGTGGCTGAAGTGGCAGGATTTCTTTGGTGAATGAGGTCGTGGAGAAGTTGAGGAAGCGCTTGAGCAGCTCCTCTTTGTCCCCGATGTCGCTGAAAGCTGAGAGAGGGAAAACAATCAGCACAACAAAGCACACGCCACATCAGGGCATTTCTCTTTTCAATGCGACAAAATAACTGATCTTCAGAGTTACGACCTAATTCGGGGGATTATTGTTTTTTTTAAAGATAAACAAAAGTATTTTGTGTCACTTTATGGCTTGGGAAACTCTTCCTGCTTATTAAAGGTAAATAAATCAAAAAAGATCACATGGGTTACACGAAAGAGCACGGCAGCTTTCCTCAGCTCATGAAAGGTATTTTAAGGACGCGCTTTTTATGGGGCAGTGACGCAGTCTTACAATGGAATGATCATTAATTGGCTTTCTACGAATCCTGAATCAATGCAACCTGTGAGTTTTATAGCTTACTGGAATTTAGCTAACCCCATCTTATGTTGACATCACACTGAATGTTCCAGCACATCATTCGCTGTAAGAATACAGGTGAGTCATTCATAGTAAAGCCGGGGATTATTTGACATCTGTGGGCTTCACATAAAACCTCACCTGGTTAAATCCACATCACCTCAGGACAAACATCTGGCACATCGTGAGTGCTTCTGTGTCTGCGCATACAAGCTCTTGTGCCTGCAGTGGTTATTGCTCATGTGTCTAGAAGTGTAACTGAGTCAAGTTAATGTCTAACAAATTTTTTCCAGTGGAAAAAAAAAAATACCTGTGAGTCAATTTGATTGGGGAAAAAAAATGTGATCTGGCTCATAATAAGAAATATGAAGTTTCAGGTTAACTCTCTGAACTCTAAGCAGTTTGTAGGCGTTTCTTTCCCTGGTGACGTTTTTTACCCACTATGGGCTCATTTAAAGTCCTGCACTGCTATGAAAACAGCACAACCACGGCTAGAATTTCAAAATACCAAAGTCATAATGCAATAAATCATCAAAAAAGAAAAAACTAAATTACTTCGATGAGTCATTTTCCAAAAAAATAAAAACATAATAAAAAGAAACAGGAATCAACATGTCAACATTTCTTCATGCCCCCACAGGTGTGTACATACAAGACATATTTTACTGCTCCCATTTTTACAACCTCTACTAACTTGGCATTTCCTCTGTACGTCAACTCCAGAGAGATATTTTCACTGTGCGGCATGTATCGTCTAACAATTTGCTGACATCCTGCTCTACTGTATACGGCGCTAAGCCACGCTGCATTTATTTTATTGCCCAAGCATGCTTTGTTTTCCTCTCTGCTTGTCTAATTGGTTTCCAGGCCTCTCTGCTCTCCGCTCTGTGTAAACACTGCCTGCAGCTCAGCCAGAAAGACCTGAACTGTTGTCACACTACGATTGGTCACAGCTGAGTCAATCATGGTTTCTTGGTTGCGCAGGATTTATTTTTATTTTAACAGAATGTGTAGCAAATGGTTTGTTTTTGGATAATTTTTAAATGAGTCCTTGAATAAAAGGGTGTTTACCACGATTTCAAGCTTCGATTTGGCTAATTTTCCAGAAGGAACCACATGATGATTTTTTCTGTTCTTACAGTTTCTTGCACTAATAAATTGTGTAATTTTGGCTTCTTTTTTTTTTTTGCCTTTCCAACAAACCAACGGATATTAGGGTTCAGAGGGTTAGAGTAACATTTCTGTTGACACACTATTGTAAATGCCTCATTCGGATAAGCTGCATTTACTGGAACTACACAGAAACGCATGTAAACACTCCATAGACTGGAGTTTTACGCAATAAAAATCTGAATGTTTTATGCAACTTCACAACTTCAATGATTTCTCTTGTTAAAGCAACTCTACAACAGAACAAAGAAAGCTAAAGAGGCAGCAGTTTCCTTACGATAATCTCCAGATCCGGACCCTGACCCGTCATCTTCACCGTCTTCATCATCTATGGGGAGGTCGCCTGATGTTCGGCCTTCTATGTACAGGTCATCCGCCGTGGAAAAGGATGACTGTGAGAGGACGAAGAGCTGCAGGAGGGAAAAAAGTTACAGCCATTATTGTTTAAGCAGAAGAGAAACACTAACAAAGACGAGAAAGGGAGAGCAAGAAACAAAGATAGGCATAGATTCGCACTTGAGGAATTCCTGTCACTAATTGGAAACATGTGAATGTGTCTATAGTTCTGGAGTAAGACAATACGTCTCACAACCAGTGATGTATGCCGGCCAAGTATGCCAGAGTGTGCACTGTTGTCTGCGACCGCGGTGCGTATTGCATCCATACTACAGTATGTGCAGTAGATGGGAGCTGGTTTCTTGTTCATCTCATGTGTTGTGGCAGTAATATGTGATACTTCCCAGAGCCACACGGCAGAGATCTAAGTGTGTTTGAGAGGAGGAGGGAAGAGATAAAGCAGCTTCAAAGACAACACACAGAGCAGACAAGTGGACGCACACATGGAAAAGGCTGTTTCATATATAAGACTGCAGCTCGGGGAGAAAAAAAAAAACTCCCACCAACCCTAAGGCCACACAAAGGAGTGTGATGAAAACCAAAGCCCCACTTATCTCTTCATCTAAAGCCTAGACAGACAGGAGGTAACACAACACACGGCTCAAGAACACTAGAAAACACATGAATCAAAGAGGGAGAGACCTCATAATGAGGCCGAAATTCAAAAAGAGGGGAAGAAGAGGCTCAAACACATGTTGGTATTAAAGCAGAGCCTCACACACACACACATATACACACACAGACGTGGATGAATATGGCCCATTGAGACCTGAAGTATGTCTGGTATGTATACTATGCTTCCACTAACACAGGTGCTGAGAGAGGGAGAAAGCAGGGCGACTGGCGAAAGGAAGGGAAGCAGAGTAACAGGGACGGTTCTGTTTGCTTCCCATAAAACAGGTGCTGAACACAAAGAAGAAGGCGTATGACGAGGTGTCCAGTTCGCTTTAAACAGAGTAAATATTCACACTTGATAGTAGTTATGGTACAAATGAACTCTTAAAGAAACAGTCCGTCTAAAAATACCATTTCTCCTTTTGGTAGTACAGCTTTGGTCACTGGTATACAAAGCCTTGATCATAAAACCACAAGAGAAACACCCAAAACTGGCACCGCTACCAACAGAATTAGACAAGAACAAGTCAGACATCAGTGATACAGATCTAAAATGTGGGCATTTATTCTGAGTCTTAATAAATGAGAAAACACTCTGGACAAACTCTTCACTGTGTCTGAACAGAACAAGCAACAATACGACACGATGTATGGAGAGAAAAACATTACGAGACAAGCCAGATGTTGTAAGCAGAAAATCATTAACATGAATTTTCTAAAGACAGCAGAACCTCATGATTGCCAAGGCTGACTAAAATAGCAGAAGAGGCTCTCGCATTCTTGCTGTCTTCAGTGAAGGGATTACAAAAGCAGATGCTGTGCTTGTCAAAACAAAACACACACACACACACTCACACACACACATAAGGCTGTAACTGCTGTTGACATACATATGTCTGTGTCCATCTAATGACTTATATGTCCTCACATTTTACAGTTTGTGTGCACGACTACAGAGAGTTTTCGACTTAAAGCTTCATTTACTGTCCAACTGGTCCCGGTTGGACACCACCAGTATTGGGTGTGTAGTCTCTCAAGAAAGCAGTTCACACTCAGGTTTATACCGACTGATCTTGGCACACAATGTTCAAAATGAGCAGGATTCCCTTTTAAGGCCACAGCAGCCAGTCTGACGATGACCTCAGGTGCTGGTGAACTGATGGATTGTCAAACGCACCATTTCCACCATTTATACAAAATCACTCCCTTACACTAGAGCTGAACGATTTGGAGGAAATATCCATCTGCAGTCTTTTTCTGACAGCTATTGTGATGTAATGTGTGATATAATTATATTAAGTCAAGCTTCAGTTCTGTGTTATAAATTCAAAACGTGATGGAGCGTTACCACATGAGATCTCATCAAACGTGTGACTGTCACACAAGGAGGACAGCAGGGATCTGGAAAACCACTGACATGCCGGTTTAAATCCTGGACCAGATGCATGGCATAACATGCCTTTACAATTTTCTAAGTGCATCATTTCAAGTTTTAATTTCAATTTTAAACCAGTAAGATGTTCAGTCTGACTGTACACTGTGACACGGTTTAAAACAATTCACGATTAAATAAATTAATTCAGACTTTGGCTCTGATGCAGCTGTGGTAAACACTCTAATGCCCCCCCGACTGGCAGCACATCATGAGTAAAAGCATATTAATACTGAAAGATAAATGTTGAATACTTCACTTTTAATAAAAACTTTAACAAAGTTTTATGTGGCATCAACTGAACAGTGTTTCACTGGTATTCATCACATGAGACCAAACTCTGTATTAAACTAAACTTTACACCGTAGTGTTCTCTGGGAAAAACACACCTCAAACAAAAAAATTAAATGGTTAAAATGATATCAGTCCAGGGTGTCCCCTGCCTTCGCCCTGAGCTGGCTGGGATAGGCTCCAGCCCCCTGCGACCCTAGTGAGGATTAAGTGGTGTATAGATGATGGATGGATGGAAAAAGATATCATATGGTAGCATCTTCACTATATGATTCAGCTAAAAGTCATCATATGTGATTTGTTGGAACCAACAATTCTCTTGATTAATCTATTGATTATTCTCAATTTACAATAAAATGTCAGAAAATCCTGACAAAAGTCACCACATCTTCCCCTCTATTAGGAAATCCTTTTCAGCGGATTGAAAAATTGCTTAATTGACTGAGTATTTAATACGCTAACACTGAAGGTAACACACAAAACAAAACACAAAATACAATCAGCTCTCACAACCTTCTTCTGTTCACCTTTTCAAAGAGAAGCTTTGCGTTAGGGTTACTGGAAGATGTGACTCAGAGGTCACGCACATCTGGAAAGCATACGTACGTACACAGAATAAACACATTCACACGCAGACCGTATATAACAATCTGGCATCCCGATGCTTTGACAGCGTGAAGACAGTTTATGGGAAACAGCCGGATCACACGGGTACAGCTCCACAGACACGGTGGCAGAGCGCACTATTAAATCTAGTGTTCAGCAAATCTAGATTTTTTGTTGCTGCTATGCTAAATATTTCCCCAATGAGCTGGAAGCCAACGAGTCGGGTCAAGAGTGAGGTTGTGTAACAACCTAAAGCACACAGCAGACCTGTCATCATCGCCATCTAAACAGCAGCAGCAGTACACAGCGCTGTGTTGAAGGGGCTGTGTGTTTGACTACAGGCTACAAGTCATAAAACGTTTGACCCCTAAACGTCAAACTTAAGTTTTGTTGTTTAACAGCAGCTGTCGTCTCTAAAAGGGAAAATTATTTGACCCTGAAACAAACAGAAGAGTTTTGTTACAACTCTGTCTCTGTAGGTCTGGACGGTTTGGGAAGACTCCAGATTTCTACATGTGATATTAATCACCATAAAATGACACAACATCTACTTTTGTCTTGCATGTGGATGATATTTGGATGTCCTTAATTGAGATCACAGTAACTTAAAACTGCTGAGCCAAAACTACAGGTCCTAGTCCACGCTAGGACACAAAAGATCATATTTTTGAAGCTAAACAACAGTTTTAGAAAGCTAGAGCTGCAACAATCAACCAATTCATTGCCAACTATATTGCTAGCTGATTAACTGGTTTGTCCTTTTTAAAGAAAAAACTAAATCTTTAAATATCAATATTTTCTGGTTTCTTTACTCCTTTGTGACAGGAAATTGTATTGTATATTAATTTATCAAGATAATACTCAACTGATTAATCAACAATGATGATATTTGTTGGTTGCAGCCCTACAGACAGCCTGTGGTGAAATGCCACTGCACCGTGGATTCTTTTCAGGTTTAGTTGTACATATTTGTCAGTGGTGTTAAAATCCCTTGAGGACATGCAAAGGCTGAAACGCAAAACACACAACCAACAAAGTCACAAAAGCATCGATTGAAATGCATTGAAACGCTCTGGCAGTCAGTTGGATGTGTACAGTCTTGCCTTCAAACGCAGAACAACGTTGTGACTAATGCCGATTAACTGGGAGAACACGAAACTTCAGGCAGACCACAATGTTTACCACGGCAAGGAGTGTCAACCTACATGATTCTCCCCATCCTTTGATTATCATTTAACCATTTCTTCTTATTTTAATGTGGTTTTTCATTCATACGTGTGTTTTGTTAACATCCTTCAGAATCAGCATACATGAAATCATTAACAATACCGTGAGTAGGTGTCACCATCTTCCTCTTGCCTTTTGTGGTGAGATGGAAATGTGTATCCCACGCAGTTTACAAGCTTGCCTGGACTAGCCCAGTGGGACTCACTGTGAGTCATCCATCCAGAAAATGACACAACTACCGGCTCAGACTGTCAGGGGCAGAAAGCCTGTTTCAACATTCATCTTTCAGATGGGAGCAACATCGCTGACTGACTAACCAGTAATTCTGCAGCCACACTCGGAGAAAGAGACACTGAATATACGATGCAACCCATCACGCCCAGCAATTTAGGACTGCAGTCTGTGTATTAGTGGCACGAAGCAAAGGGCAATCAAAGGGTCAGAGTACGTTACAAGATGACACAACTTAAAGTCAAGCGGAATAAAGGCTGTGATCACATCTCAGATATTATATTCCCAGATTACAACCCATGGGGCCTCAGGCAGGAAAGAAATGACAAACAGTATTTCCTCTATATCCACAACTCTTTCAGTCCTATTTAGCCAGCACATGCTTCCTTTTCAGTTGCTGCTACAAATATCCACCAGGACAGTCTCGGGTTTCAGCTCGCTCCCTTTCACAATATACAGTCCATAAATCTTAAATAATATGCATTTCTGGAGAGGTGCTGAAGTTCCCTGGCTCTCATTTGGGATTTTTACAGTCGGTAAATCATGCAACCAGGATATATTTCACACTTGTGACAATGAACAGAGCTCTGCTTTGGCCTGTCATTTCCAGGTGTTTTCCAACTTTACAACACACATAACAGACTGTAGGGGAAAGACATGGACAGATTTTTCTCTATTGTTTTTAGTTAAGACAAGATTGTCAGGTTAGGGGAGAGGATTTTCTTTTAATTTTTTGTCATTCTTTGCATTTCAAATCAAATCACATTTATTGTCATTTTGCTGTACAAACAAGACGAGCGAGCGTTTCTTCAGGATCCAAAAACTAAAAGCAGTTAAATAAAGAAGTGTTTGCATGTCTGGATCAGCAGCTCAGCTTTCTGACAGCTTGTGGGATGAAGCTGTTTATCAGTCTGGAGGTTTCATTTCATTCCATCCTGGTTAATCATTCATTAGGGCCCGATTTTGAATTTCATCTTGCAAACAATGACATTTAAAACTCGACCTGAGCCCCGTGTGGGTGAGAAACTCAGGCCAGGTTCTGGAGGTTTAAATGTCAAAGCTGTGCGTTTAGAGGCCGAACAAACTCTGGCCCTGTGTGAACTCCACACAAACTGGGCGCCTGAACTTGGCTTGAACACACAAATCTAATGCTTTAAATAAATAAACTTGACATTAGTGGCAAATACAGTTTAGAACAGAGATTTATGTACATTTCTTTTACCTGCTTAGCAATAAACATCAAGGCTGTCCAAATAATGGAAACTATATCAGTAAAAGGCCAGTGCGACAAAACGTGGGGGCGACTAAATGAGAAAAACACAACGTAAAGTCAACCCGAACCGAACTTAACGTCACCAATGTTTGGATTTCAACGTCTCTTTAGTGGCTTTTCTCTTCATAAAAGAAGGAGATAAAGTAAAAACTGTCGAGTGAAATCACATTCAAGTTTTCTCTTAAAGTAAAAGGGTCTAAAAAATTAAAACAAAACTTCCAAACTTACTTTTCCACTGATGGACCCAGTCGCCAGTCCGACGAGGAACAACAAGCACAGATTCCTCATCTTAACTTCCACAAACGAGCGACAGTTGAGGGAAAATATGGAGATAGTGATGGGGAGGGAAAAAAACCCTTTAAATTAGGTGTAAAAAAAAATATGTAATTCAGCTAATTTCTTCGTCCTTGTGTCCGCTCGCGTTCTTCGCTGCTTTGTTAAAACTCGTCTCTCCGCTGAAAGCCTCCGGACTCTGTGATGAGGACTCGGACTGAAGACTTGTTTGGACTGCCAGTGCAGCGTGGCTCCGCGGTGACGTCAGCACGTCGTGACGTCCGTTGCGGAAGGTGGTTTGGATCGCTGGGGGTGGGGAGGGGAGGGGGGCGTGTCTGACAGGAAGTGTCACTACATTTAAGGAACTCAAGAAGAAACACGCAAGAAATTCAAGGAAAACAATTATGTAATGGAAGCAAACGTGTTGCGACAGTCTGATCTGGATCAGCATGACATCACTTGTGGTGAACTCGAATTATGAGGTTTAATAAAATGTATTGATCCCTCACCTGGAAGATTTACGTGTTACAGCAACTACATACGGATGAGGGATGGAAGAAGGAGGATGAGAATTACAAAAGACTAAACATAAAGGTATAATACATTTACAATAAAGACAATGTATAAGACATGATGATTTTAGTTGACTTTGGGCGTAGGCAGGGGACACCCTGGACAGGTAACCAGTCTATCACAGGGCTACACTTTGAGACAGACAACCAAGCACACTCACATTCACACCTACAGACAATTTAGAATCACCAATTAACCTCAGCATGTTTTTGGACTCTGGGAAGAAGCTGGAGAACCCGGAGAGAACCCACGCTGCACAGGGAGAACATGCAAACTTCAAATACAGATATAACATGGTGAATTTACATATAACCAACTGAGCCATATCCAACTTAAGACATGCAACATGTTTGATCATGTTTCGGGTTTTCCACACAAATCTTGCTGCTGTAAAGTTGACATACCAATAGAGATGGTTTAAAGATCAAAAATGACTGATTTGAGGACACCTGCTCTACCTACACAGCAACCAGAAAAGGCTGACTGTGTTCTGTCATGTTGAAGTACAAACAGAGGGCAACCAAAGCACATAAATGATTGCCTAATCTGATCTGTCTTACAAATGCATGAATTGAGGGAGGGACACATTGCTATGCAATCACATATTGGGACAGTAACGATTCATTTAGTCTGATAAGTTTGCACATTTATATATTATATAATATTGTAAGGTCTCAGTGTTTACATTTATGTTCGTCAGGTAAATTTGCATGATTAAAAACATTATAGAATAGAATAGAATAGAATAGAATAGAATAGAATAAAACTTTATTGATTTTGTTGAATACTTTATTGAAATAGTTGAATAGGGTCTCAACCTAAAAAAAAAAAAAGATTTAATAAGTCAGTCTGTATTTTATAAAATATTATACGATCTTCACCCTAATATGTACACTAGAGAGGTAAAATTGCATTTTATAGAATACTGCAGGGCCTTCACCAGTGTATGTAAATTGCTCAGGTACAGGTACTTACATAATAAACAGTACTTTTGGGTGTTTAAATGAAACTACTCAGGTAAGTCTGTCACATTGATCTCATTTCTCAGAAGGAAAGTACTTTGGCTCAACGTTTGCTGATTTAAGTATGCTGCATAGTTTACATTGATTGACTGGACATGGCCATTTCGATTGTAGTTTTGAAGTTAATTGACTGACGAGCCGAATTAAACCACAAGAACTACAGAAAAGCACGACAGTTTACGACAGTTCGTGTCGTCGTACGGGAGTAAGACATGCCACAGTTAAAATAAACATGTGAGCAGAGTAGTAACAGAAAAATACACAGGTAAGACTATAAACTAGTATTTCAGTATACTTTAGTCGATAATGTAACATAGAAATCAGATGATATGTTGTAACTCACGTGTTTTTGCACTGAGCGAAAAACGGTTAGCGTGCAGGTTAGCCGCATTTGCCAACACAGCTAGCAACGCAGGTTTTGCCATTGTATTTAAAATGAGCTGAGCCACAAGAAGTCTCTGTTGGCTAAGTTATGTTGCCACTCAGAGTAAAGCTTATTTGAACCCCCTGATATTGGTCCAGCGTTTGTTCGAGCCTCTAAACGATAGAAATATTCTGAAAATATATCCAGCTGAACTTCATCAAAATACGGTCGATTTTCAAGTTTTCTTTATCGCTAATAAACGTACATTCAGACGATGCTTTTTTTGTGTATTTTTGCACAATCACTACCACTGCTTACTTAATTCGGCGTACACTATGTAGACCAAACACTGTTGGTTTGAGTTAAAATGGACATTGGGTTCACGAGTTTCCGTGATAGCGTTACTGCACATCAGACGTCTCATCGTGGTGATCGGATATGGCAATAGTCATATTTAATGTCAGTATCACTGGGGGAATTAAACAATTTATATTTCGATAATATTAGAGAACATTGAGTATTTGCTTGAAATATTAAGGTCATTCCAGGTTCAATAATTTTGGGATATTCTGGAAAATGTTATAATTTGTAGTTTTTGCATGGAGTTTGGTGTGCGTGTTGTCTGAAAAAGTTTCGCTGAACCATGTGTATTATGTGGTTCCTTTCTGGGTAGTTATAGTAAACCAAAGGCTGGATCACTAACTGGGGATGTTGAGTTGTTGATTTTTTAAAATTTATTTATTTATTTATTGGTCAGGTGATTAACGCACAGAAAACATCTATTATATTAGTAGATCAAGGCTGCACCCAACAATTAGATTGTTTTCCTACATGGGTAGTTCCTTAAGTTATTTGATTAATCAATACAATGAATGAACATAAAGGGGAAAATGCACATCGTTATTATTTAAGTTAGAGTATTGAGATTGTCTATGTTTTCCAACCAACAGTCAAAAACTCAAAGATATTGAGTTTAACTGGGAAAGAAAACTGAGAAACTAGTAAGCAACAGTTAATTTGGGTTGTTTTTGCTTGTGTCACTGAATTAATCAACTAATCATTTGTGCTCCTTATTGCTGTTTTTTTTTTTGTCTGTTCAGTTAAAGGACAGTCCTGTGTAATGCTCTTATTATTTCCTATCCTATGATTTGGTGCCACCTTGTGATCACTGCAGGTTTCTGTAAAGGAAAGGCAGAAACATATGCAAACAAACTAAACCTGAATCACACGTTCACATTCTGTTGATTGTTTTCTCAATAATGGATTTTGTGTATAAAGAGTCAGAAGATGGTGAAAGCGTTGCTTTTTATCTTTGCACATCTTCATGTGATGTCAAAAGTCTTGTTTTGTCTGAAAAAGTGCTCCACATCAGAAGGATTTCTGTTTACTATCATGTATGAAAAAGTAAAGCTTGAACTCTTCACATGTGAGAAGATGAAAAAAAAATGAGCATTATTGCTTTTAAAAATAGGGGGAAATGATTTTTCAGCTCTCAGATTATCTGCAAGATTTCAGTCAATCAGCTGACTGACTGATCTAATGAAAAGTATTTCCAGTTTAAATCTCAGAAACTGCCTGCAGTCACTGTAACTGCAGTAAAAGCAGCAAATCTGTGTCAGTGAAGTGATATTTTATGAGGATGAAGAGTTTCACTGCACATCTGTAACATCTGTCCGTCTTCTTTCTGCAGATGGAGAACTACAGTAAAGCTCGGACCGTGGAGCGGCCCTCCGTCTGTCCATTCTCTGGCCTCCCTGCCGACACGCCGGAGGTCCGCGTCAAAGATGGCAGCAAGATCCGCAACTTGCTGCGCTTCGCTCTGAGCCGTATGGAGGCCAAACCGAGAGCAGCCGAGGAGGAGGAGGAGGAGGAAGGTGGCGAGGAGGGGCGGCAGGAGGCGGTGGGCCGGCCACTCTGCAAACACCTCGTCTTCACTGCCAGCGGGAAGAGCGTGTCCAAGGCCATCACCTGCGCTGAGATTGTGAAGCGGCGTCTGAAGGGGCTCCACCAGCTCACCAGGCTGCTGTACGGCACTGTGGACGAGGTGTGGGAGCCGCTGGAGCCCGCCGCTGGTCTCGACAGCCTCACCGTAAGCAGGAACCTGCCCAGCATCTGGATCCTGCTCTCCAGAGAGCCGCTGGACAGCAGCCAGTCGGGATACCAGGCACCAGGCCGCTACGATGCCCTGTGGGCTCAGAGCTCCAGCAGGGACGAGGGCGGAGGGTTCACCGGACAGAGACCCGGCCACAGGAGGAAGAGAGGCGGCGGCGGTGGTGGTGGCAGCAGCGGCGGCAGAGGGAAGGGACCCGGACGTCAGAGTGGACGGTCCAGAGAGCCGCTGAAAGGACAGAACTGATTTTTTTTTAAAGTGCATCAACATGCAGAGACTCTGTGACAGTGAGATGACTTTTAAAGGATTTATACATTTCAAACAGATTTATAAATCCATCATTAGAAATGTTTTTGTTAAGCTGGTTTTTACTGAACTGTCGTCTGCAGACATGTGGAATCTGACCACATGTTTTTTTGTCTACAGTACAAACAGGTTTTGTGGCCTGAAGTCTGAGTTCTGAAAATGTGCTTTTGAAATGAGTAAATTAAAGACATTTTGTTGGTTTCACTCTGACATTGTGTTGCTGATTCTCTCTGTGCAGACTTAGTTTTAAATATTCATTTTTGAAATGCAGTAAAACAGCATAATTGTGCAGTCAAACCCTGTAAACTGGCACTTAAAGACATGTAACACTGTCAGTTATTCATTCACACTCATTCATTCTGGTGGTGGTAGCTACGATTGTAGCTGTAGCTGCCCTGGGCCAGGCTGACTGAGGCGTGGCTGCCATTCTGCGCCTACGACCCCTCAGGCAGAGCGGGTGAAGTGATTAGCGGGTTACAGGGCCAAATTGAACAGCTGATTGACCAACTGGCTCGACCACCTGAGCCATAGCTGCCCACAATGTGGACATTATTTATAGTTTTGGCCAGTTTTTTTTTTTTTACAACATTTATTTCTTACTTTTTTTTTAAATTTAACAAAACAGAAAATTTCTAAAATATCAGTTTTAAAAAAGTAATTTCAATCCAAATAAATGCAACAAAAGCAAACATCTTACATTTTTAAGAACAATACAGATTTTCAATGTGGACATTATTGACAGTTTTGACCCTTTTTTTATGGTTGAGATGAAAACCAAGCACAGACAGAGAACATCTGTAAAAAGTTAGTTGTTGAAAAATTACAGTTAAATCTAAAATCATTCACTTAAAAAACAAAAGAAACTGCAAAACTCTGGCCACATGGGTGCCAGAAGAAAAGGTGAAATACTGTAATGTTCAACAACTATAAGCAGCAAACACCTGTGATTTTATTAGATATTTTATTTTTAACAGAAATAAGCAAGAGGCAAACTTTTAGCGTTGAAATTGACTGAACTTGAACATGTGAACGTCTGCTTCCACTGAAAACTGTGGGTCAGCTCCACACCGATCTGTTTTTATGGCAATAAATGTGGGGCGGCTTACTGAACAGAGACTCTGCTCTCCGTGAGGCTGCTCCACTGACTGATACCTTGGGGACAACAATGTTTAAAGAATATTTAGTAATACAGTGAATCTTGTCTGTAAAGTGACTCCAGTTTAAACATGTGAGCAGGAAATTCCCCACAGTGAACTGAGATCGTGTTTTGGCAGCAAAGGAAAGAGAAGCTGCTCTGTTTTTGCTTCTGGCAGCTCAGGGAATTTCTAAAATCACATCCAGCCAAACATGAGCTTTGGGAACAGCAAAAAGTTTCACTTCTCAAATCAGAGGTGTGTTGTTGCGTGTTGTGTAGAGCTTTCTAACCTTCTGTCCATTAACGCTGTAAAGCAGTGACTGTAAAGACTAAAACAGTTTTCAACACGAACTCCTCAGCATAGAATGAATCTGCACACTTTAAATTGGCTTTTTTTTTATTCCTTGTAATTCCCCCGGCTGCCTCTCTCCTACAACTTGCAGTCTGACGTGTGGACTTTCCAGATGCAGCCTTTCTGGGACACAAACACCAACAGTAACGGGGACATGCCCAAACAGGGAGGAGTTTCACTAAACTGAAATTCTC